ACTAGGCAGTGCACTGTATAAGCAGCGCATAATAAGCAGGAGTACATATACATACTTCATGGGACTTTTAAACTTCAAAAATGTATAGTACAATTTTTTAATATAACTACTTTTTCTAATAGATAGTTTTAATTTTAATTTGGCCTCACAACCATGGAATTTCCGCAATTTTCTATTGTGTTGTAAAAATAGAAAAGTAAAACATTGTGAGACATGAAGCTGATTACCAAATATATATTTCTATGTTCTTATTTTTAGGCATTCACGAATTTTAACTTACTTAAATCCCAAACGTCTGATATAGCTAGATGTTTATGGCTAAAAGCCTCTATATAAATCTTTTCCTAAGTAAAAATTTAACATTCACTCTGCGTAAAAGCACAATTTATGTAACGTTTTATGACTTGTAAAAAAATAAAATCGTTTGGGTTAACTATAACCCAAATTTAAGTACCTACAAACAATCGGTATTACAGCATTTGTTAAATGAATACGCGCCCAAAAGTCCATCGATTTTAAGGAAAGAGCACGTTAATTTCGTGGCTCCACAACGAACGGGAAAAGAGAACTCAAATCGATTTTTGCCCAGCCGGGGTGGTCATTAAAGGTGTGTTCTATTCTGCTGAGGACAGGTGAGCGTGACCTGGCAAATTACTTAATTAACGCACTTCTCTGACAAAGGCAAACTTGGTATCCGTCCGTCAAGTTTGGTGAGTTTTCTGAATTGTGAAGACCTCGACCTTGTTACTCACAGACGGAATTGTGTGTAAATGCCATTGAGTTTGGCATTTCTGTGACAACTTGACCTCTTGACCTCGCCGAAAACGTCGAGCGGTTTAAAATTGTGGGGCAAATCAATCGATTCAAGACACTCTAATCACAGGCTTTCACCACGAATGCCAATACCTGCTGTGTCCCCAATTGACAGGCCTCCATTAGTGAAATCAAACATGCAGACTTTGCCAATTAGATGAATTATTCATGTTGCCAGCCAATAAGCTATAAAAAGTGTCAACATGTCCTGGAGACAGGCACACATGTATACCTATGTATATCACGTTCAGTTCGCCGGGATGTAAAACAAAAACAAGTTTTCTCTCCCATAATCTTGATCTACTTTTCATGTACCGCGCAACGGGCTCTTTGGCTTATTATTTATTGGCTTTTTGATAAGCCAAATTGCCAAGTGAGCGTCCTTCTTTCTTTACGACTTTATAATGCCTGCTCTGCTCGACGTGGCATTCACATAAATCTTGTGAGTGAAGGCTGAGTTGTTTTGTTCTTTCAGTTTGATTTCTTTGTGACTCCTTGGAGTGCCATAAAACAATTACCAGGACCTGTTTAAAATTGCATTTGCTATTGACAGGGGGCAAGCTGGAAAAGACAAACAGGCAAGCACACACAATCACAGAAATGGGTCCCTCGTCCTGTTTCTCAAATTGAAACATTCTGTTTGCCCAGCCCTGGGACGATTCTCGCATGTCTGTCAATATGTTTCACAAGTTTACTTTCGCAGACAATATTGTTGTTTGGTAAACATTTTCATTTGAGTCGTGATGATTCAAATCCACATTACGCATACGACTAGTGAACAAAGTGGTTAAACTCTACTTCGATGAATTTCGACAACTTGCCAGCTATTATTTATTAACTATTTTTAAATGATTTACTAGGGGTTCAATGGAGCATACGTATGAAACTATTTATAGAGTAAATACATTATTAATAATTTCTAAAAGGGTTTAGATATAAATTCTATTCAAAGAAATATTGAACAATGAGCGTTTCAACAAGTCTAAATATCTCATAAAGAATTTAAATATAAAAACACTTTTTTTTAAGTCAAAAATATAATTAATAAAAAGAGAATTTTAAGAGTGTTTTTCAAGCTCATTTTTTCTCATTTGTTCAACACATTAGTAAAATATTTTTTATTTTGGCAATCCTCGTTGAAACTACATTGCAGATTATTATAACAATTCCTACACAAATATTGTCTATATGAGTTGGTCTAGTAAAAAAAATAAAATAAATATGTTGTACTCACTTCACGTTTCTATTATTTTCATTATTTATGCCACTTGATGGCTCCATTCGTTGATTTCATAGCCGAATAAAGGTGTTTATTAAAGCTGCTACAAGTTTTTTGAATTATTAAATGCCTTGCAGTTAAACATATACTTTTGAATGATTATGGATAAACAATTTCACTTTGCACAGACACAAAATCATCAGCTTATATTCTCTCTTTAAGCTAGATTTGAAAATATTTAACTTTTCATTAAACTATACATATATATTTAATTCATTTGATTTGTAGTTACACACGTATGTAAATAACAGATGGTTTATATTTTATAGACACCAATCGAATGAGAACTGAAAGTAGAGAAAGGGAAAATAAATTAGATTTGGGCGGTACAGAAATCTCGTTAACATTTTAGTCACATACACCCACAGCCATGCAGAACCCCTTTATCTAATTTCCCAAAAAGCCAGTCCGTGACCTTGCCAAAAACATTAATAACAATTTTCCTCATATCATTTGTTGTAAATGCACGCGTAAGCGACGCTAACCCAAAAGCAACGCCCACCGAACAATTTGATTGCACAATGGCTAGACACAAGCTACAACACCATTTTGACAGAATTGGTATAACAACACATAAAGGATAATAAAGGGTTTAGCTACGCATACAAATGACAAAAATTATATATCGTTTCATACGTGTGTCTGTCTGAACATTTTTTGGAAAAATGTTTCGTGTTGCACAGTGGTAAAGTATGGAATATACATATTGTATATATAAGTCTGGAAAAGAAAAGCTTTTTTATCTATTAGAAAGATTAAGGCTATTTTAGGCAGGCATTCGTGAACATAACAGTTTAGCAATCAAATATAAATAAAAATGTGTATTTAAGAAATAAACTAAAAAGAAATATAAGAAAGCTAATAGTCTTTTTAGTTTAGTTCTGTATTAATAGGATTAATAATATTAAACTCAATCCAATTTGTAAGCACGAATATCCAGATGTCGTTAGTATATGAAAATACATGTAAGAAACTTGAAAACTAGCCAATGAAAACAATTTTCCCTACGTGTAACCCCCATTTGTTATTTTCTGTGTTAATTTAGTTTTCTGTTCACAAAGGGTCACAAATGTTTATTTCCTTGTGTCCCTTTTTTGGGAGCAGCTGCTTCAAAGGCTTGCCAAAAACGGGATTAAAATCCTACTTTTTGGCATTTAATGCACGTTCCAGGCATAGTCAACAAATTTAAAATACATTTCGTTGTGGGATATGACACATGGGTAACGGCATTTACATACAAAAGAAAAATAAAACAGGATTAAGCATGTTCCTACGAGGACTTAAAACTCGCGTAAAAATCCTTAAGCCACGGAAAGCTCCCAAACTGCATGTTTACGGTTGCCATAAAGTCCGATAATATAAAAATAAATTCAAAGCTGACAATATCAGCAAAATAACGACTGCCTTTCGTTTACGAGCTGGTCCTGCTGTAAATACGTTGCTTGCGACCAAAGAAAAGTATAAAAATAAAAGAAAATATAATAAGGTAAAATAACACTTCTCAAAAGTTTCAGATTTAATCTTGTATAAATTGCAGAATTTATCTGTTTTTCTCGTTTGTGATTCCCTTGTGGATAATAGTTATAGTCAATTTCTTTCAAGACAAGTATAAAACTGCAAATAGAAATTTACCAATTTCTTTTGTGAATTTCGTTTTTATTTTATGATTGCACTTTACTCGAATGCATTAAAAGATTTTGTGTATATTGTGAAAAAATTTAAACTAAACTTTCATGTAGCTATAAATCTAACGACAAAGCTTTCAAAATGCATTTTCTGCAGGGCCAAACGTAATGAATTATTCGTGAGCCGTTCAGTCTCTCGTCAAACTTTAAATGCCCATTAAATTATTCATTGGGAATATTTACAAATTTGTGGCTCCCTGGATTAATTAATTTCTTGGCCGTAAACGAATAAATTATGGCCCCTGGCCGTATTTCTCTTGTTTTTTTCCAGAAACCTGTGGCCCAAAAAGCAACAACAATAAAAAAAACCAGAGCCTCACCCACGCAAAGTGAAAATGTAGGTCAGCAATGTGAATTGAAAATCAGAATAAAAACAAAAGCAAATACCACATACTCAAACCGACATACGCGGGAGAGAAATGTGTGTGTATTTTGAGCTTTGTCGCAGTGTAAAATCAATTTTCATGAAATGTGCCACGCGTCGTATGAGTAATCAGCGGGGACAAGCCAAACAAACAAAGCCTCGGCACGAACAAAAAGCAAAACGTATGCGTAATTCCTGTATTGACGGCAGTAACATATTGTGGTATAAATCAATTTAGCGCTAATTTCAATAAACCAAACAGGCCCATAAAACACCAATTGATATAATTCGATAAGTGGAAAAGATGGTTGGTAAAGACCAAACCAACTAGTCGTCCAGTTTATAGCCCGTAACTATTTGTAAATGACCTTGCTTACTGGATTAGAGACTGGCGGCTTATAACTTATAGTTTATTAATGATAAACCCGATTTTAAAAATCAATACAATTTAACATTTTCCCACCACTTCCACATAGTTTAAAGATAATTAAATATTAATCAAGTCCAATTAAACACCTAATAATAGTCTGCCCAACAAGTAATTAATAATAGAAAATTTAAATTTGTATAAAGCCAATAATCTAAAATTAATTAAACTGTCATTTAACTTACAGTACAACATGTAAACAAATTTTACAATAAGTCTGTATAAAAATGATAGAATTTGTTATTATATTCAAACTACTTAATAACTAGTCCACCCAAAAGTAGGCAACAAGAAATTATTACCTTGTTTATGAGTTTGGTTGAACTTTAATTTCTTGTAGGTTTTGTTGTTTCAGTATGTTTGCATTTATCTATATAATTGAAGCATTTTTGGTTGAAGTGTTTGTTTCATAGGATGGTAGTTTTTGTTTGTCGTTTTCATATCATCAAGACAATGATAATGAAGTAGCAACAACACATTAGAATCTTAAAGTTGGGCAATTTGCTGCCTTTGTGCTTTTGCTTGTTTAGCTTAGCCTGCAACTGCAGATGAAGTTGAAAGTGCTCGTAGCCCGAATTGGATGTGCGGATGACGTTATTCTTTCCACCTTCATGGCCTCCGTCGCTATTGTCACCGAATTTGATGTCTTCGCAGGTTTTTATGCACATCTTCTACGGCTGACCTTTATTCTTCTATTCGGATTATTCAGCGAGAGAATTTATTTGATTACACTTTCACAGTTTCACAATGGCTTTGCTTTTCCTTGTGTGCTCGTTTCCCTTTGCAGTTTATACGCGCAGTTTGTTATCAAAGTCAGAGGTTTTCATGGCTGCCAAACTTTGCCTGTAGCAATTTCCATAAAATATATGAAAAACCAAAGAAGAACTTCAGTTAAAGTTAGTTGATCAAACATTTGCTGGCCAAAAATCTAAGAGGTTAATAAACATAAAACCGAAGCACCAACTCAAACTGAAAGAAAATACATGATTGCTCGTTGAGTAAAAACAACAAGGAAAAACCCATTGACTATGTTTGTGAGAAGGAGAGCTCTTCCTTGGGATACAAAAGTTTGTGTTTTTTTGGTAGGCAAATTTTGTAGCTTAATTGGGTGCGGTCAATATGCTTTTTACCTAGAATGCTTGAAACGAAATTACAAATAATAAATGTAAGCTTTTATTAAATTAAATATTTGATAAAATAGATATATAAATAATTACAAAATATTTTGATAGTATCTACTGCAGTCGATGTTTATTAGAACTTTTGATTTGCCTTTAACAATAACGACATAAAACTTTTACAGTTGAATTTTAATTTACATACTGAGATTACGAGTATTATCTAACGTTCTTCTGAATGATCAGTAATTTATTTAAGGTATAATTTAATTTCCATTTCATTTTCTGTCAAAATCAATCTACCAATCCAAAAATTAGTGTTTTGTAATACTCTAACACTAAAATGCAATTATTTGACCGTTCCTATCCTTATTTCAGAGTTAACTAATTATTTAATTAATGGTCATTTTAACTAATTCATTTTTGTGTAGAGAAAAAATTAGGTAAATCGTTTTTACGATCTATTAACGGCTATGAATTCCTTTCATCAATAAACTTTAATAGCATGTTGGTTAAATAGTTTTCCAAAACTCTTAGTTTATCAGCAAAGTTTAAACTATACTATTCCAGGCCTTGAAATCTCTTGTTTTCCGAGTAGTTAACTTAAGCACGCACCCACATCAACCTATAGAACAGAAAGGCGAGGCATAAAACGTTTGTTATAGCCAGGGGTGAAGATGCTCCAGGGACTCCTTTGAGCTGAACGGAGATAAACGCGTTTAATTCAATCTCATTGGGAAATATCGCACATACGCCACGTGCGCCCGAACGACAGGCCCACCTGGACAAGAACTGGGGAATAATTTTGCACAAGTTTGCAACTTTCACTTTTCACTTCATTTGACGCGAACTTTTGGCGCTGATATTGTTGCTGCTGCTGTTGCCACCGCTTATTGGAATTTTCTTTTGGCCGTGTGGCAAACGCTTCGCTCGCTGCCGTTTTGTATACTAAAGGACATGGGTGGCCACTAGATGCCAAGCAGCTGCGTCCGCAGGTCCTGAGGGAAGAAACTCTCTCGACTCTCTGGCTATCTAGCTATCAGGCTCTCTCAGGACTCAAAATATGCGCGCGCAGGAGCGTCCGGAGAGTTGCCAACTTGGCCAGTTCCTGGCTTGTTTATAACAAAAACAGTTGGGGAGTATATCTCCAAAGTCGTCGTTGGCCATGTTTTTGAGCTGCTGGTATGCTGTTGCTATTACTCGCTGCACTTAACTTGAACTTTCTGAGCTGGCTTGTCGAAAACTTGGCAGCGGACAACTTCAAGGCTTTTTAAAAGATTTCACTTCACGCTGAGACATCCAGGCGTTGGCCTGGCCAACAACACTTTCACATTCTCGACCCCAACAGAACCCCCACACACAGCCACCCATATGTGAGTACTCCTTGGCCACATCCTTGCTATACTCACACGCCCACCAAACGACTTTGAAACAAATTCACGTTGGCCTTTGGCTTTGGCATTGGCCACTCTCATTAAAGCCAGAAGTTATTGTCTTGTTTGGCATACTGAAAGGAATATATCTACATAAGAAATACAGCCCATCAAGTTGACTAATTTGCTGCTTTCAGCTTAGTGTCTGTCAATGAGTCTATAATGGAGCCCAAATGACTGCTCGAATGTGGGTTACAACCAAAAGCGGTCTTGATAAATACGAGTCTATCTCTTGTCAGTGAAATATTATAAATGTATGCATGTAGCTCGTTTAACATTGGCAAAAAGTGTTGAAATTCTTAAATTTGTTCTTTTACAAGTTTCCTTAATTCAGAATAATAATAGATTTCAAAATGATTATTTGAGAAAATATAGTGTTTAGAAATATTTAAAGAAAATAGTAAGAAAATAATAATTAAATTCTAAGGTTTTGTGTCTGAATTTAACTTTTATTATTATATAAATTTTATCAGCTGAGCAACGTGATAAAATTCCTGTTTTAATTTAAATATTAAAAATCATTTCCATAGTTTTAAAAACGAATTTGTTTGTTCATCCTTGAATTCACCAAAATTGCTTTACTCTTAGCAGCATATCTATCGATATACCTAAACTGAATGTGGTTTGGTTTCGTCCGGATTTGGCCAGAGCAGTACATATAGCTGTTTTGCATATCAGCTCAACACTTAGCACTCCCTTAGCCCCCAACCCCCTCCCCATCGCACTTGCTGTTCCATGGAACAGAGTCGAGGCTGACTTGGGTATTCAGTGAAATTATCATCTCGCTGTGCACGCTTCGCAGCCGTACGTGCCGTCGCCTGGATATCCATGGTTCAAGCTTTCGCCTGTCCTTGTGCCTTGGATTGGTAGTCATGGAAGTCCTGCTCAACCAGCTCCCCGCCTACTTCCCCACCCAACTCACAGTGCCCACGGTCAAGCTGCTTATCTCACACAAAACACTGGTTGCTTTGGCGAAAGAAAACGACGCGACTTGCCAAACAGGAATTGGAGCAAAAAATCGCAAAAGTGAAATGTCGAAATCTTCTCTATTCTATTCAAAGCACAGAACAAAAACAGATTCCAAAAAATTATACACAAGTTTATAGCTTGCCAAAATCTTGCATTTTTTTTTGTCTATTCAATTGTGTGATCCGACTCTGCCTCAACAAGTTTCTTGTTGAAGAACGACTAGTCGCCCGGGTTAAAGCCTCTAGGTAGAGGTCATAAAACAATTCAGGATAAGGAATTCGCATTACTCGGGGACATGCATAAAAACTGGCCAGGCAACTTAGGAGAAGGATTTCTGCCAAGGCAGTTAAAAGGCATTTTTATATTCATTACAAGTCAGGCTGCATGGCAAAAAACAACAGTAACAGGCTGCAGAAACTACCAACAAACGGCAACAGCAACATCAACAATTTACGACTCCAAACGGAGTGGGTCGACTTTTTTATAGATGCCACAGCTCACCTCACACAAAAGCAACCTTTTTGCTGCCACCCACTGGCTGCCAGTAAAAAAGAGCAAGAAAAAAAAGGATTTTATATCTTTAACCGATATTACAAAAAGGAAATAATCCACTTCTTCATTTTGAATTTAACGTTAAAAGAATCTTCTTTTACCAATTATATTTTCTTATATAAATAAATTTGATCTTAATCCAAAGGGAATTTTAAGTTGTTGAGTTGTAAAATGTTGCATGAAGTACAGACTTTCTAACAATTAATATATTTTTTTTTTTTTTTTACTACACCAAAATTTGACATTTCAGAAAATAACCACAAATTTCTTCAATAAACATGATTATAAAGTCCTAAGATAGGAAATATAAGAGTATGTCTAACTTTTTGACATGACTTTTGTACATATGTACATAACTAAAAAATAGACAAACGAATGAATAAATTTAATTTGTGCATTTTAGACAAAGGAACAACACCTTTTAAAACTCTTTTGGCACTCTATTAAATTGTAATTAAAGTCTTAACTTTGTTAAGTTATGCAAGTTTGCCTGTATTTGTAAGTTTAATACAAGGCTCATAAAACGTTTGAAGAGGAAAATCTAACGGCAAAATTATTGAAGGACGAGTCCGCGCACTACCACTCGAACAAACCTATGTACATAAACATATACATATACATATATATATGCTGCAGACACACCTAAGGTGAAGCCCCAAGTTGGCTTAGACAACGGCAGAAATATTGCAGTGGCGAACACGGAAACAGCTGAAAAAGTGAAAGTAATGGGCAGGCTGAAACTTTTTCTTTCGCTTAACTAACCTGGCTGAAACTCTACTCCGCTCAGCTCATTCTGAAGGACTTTTAGTCCGCAGTTTTTCGTTTCTGCTTTCCACCTTTGGCAATCGCTTATTTGTTTTGCGCTAAAAATTAAGCGGCCACGAAAAGTTTGTGGGTTGGTAAATTACTTTACACGCCACTTGAACACGCAGGCAACGAACAAACCAACCAACGAACATCAGCCAAACACATTTAATTAAATTAAAAATAATAGATAATGTTGAACAATGGAGAAACTTCAAATAAACTAAATTACTAAAACTTTGGGTAACAGAACGATAGACTTCGGAAGACTATGGGAAGTTCAAGTGAATTAAAATATTTCAATTTACAGCTACCAAAGACAATGAATTAAATTCCACAATATCTGCGTTTTAATTTATAAATACAATATATACGAGTAACTAAAATATATAATAAATATCTTAATTGCTAGCACCATTTAGACAGTTCAAGGTCTTATCAATTTTCACAATTTTCCCTTACTGACATCAGTTGATGCTAGCAACCCATCAATTATAATAACGATTGCCTTTCGATGGGAATAAGTGATTGTTATCAGACACCGAGCACCGCAATTACTTTGCACACAAACTACAACCCATAGCCGTTGTTTCTTTACTGATAACTGGCAAACGTATTCAAGGGATAGCTCAAATAAAACAGGATACAGAAAGTAAAATGGATAAAATGGTTAAAGCCAAGCGAGTTGGTAGCTTTTTATCAGGCCATTTCTGGCTGTTTGCCATTAAAGTGCCACGCATAAACGAAGCTGCCTGATAAGAGATACATTTTTTTACATACTTTCGTTTAAAGTTAAAGGCGACGACAGCCACAACAACAAGTCGAGAGGTTTAGCTTTTTGCACTAGACACGCACGTAGACATTTAATTTAATTAAATGTGATTTGATTAAATATGTTTAACAGATTTATATTAGTCGGCGAACAACACACGGAATACTATTCAAGCTCTTTAAAATGGCGTTTTTTGTTTCGGAAATGATATATGTATTTACAGATATCTATTCGTTTTATCTTTTGGGTATTTAATTTAGCTACTGTTGCTGTTTGTTGCTTTGGGGAAATTCTTCTGTATATTATTGGAACGCTTGAAGGTGCTGTGAGTGTGTTAACGAAATGAGGAAAGATTGTCTACTGAGTGTGCGAAAAGGTTCCGAGTCCTGTCGAACCCAGCGAGAGTTGTCCTCGCCGTACCACGGCGCGTATGTGTGATATGCGTTTCGTTTTGTTTTAGGAAAGTGCGCGCGCAAAATGCCAAACAGCTGTGCCGTCTCAGCTGCTGTCAAAAGAGAAAAAGAGAGAGAAAGAGACGGAGAGAGGGAGAGAGCAAGAGAAATGGCGAGAGAAAGTTGCCCCTCGGGCGCACGCTCACCGCAGGATGGGGGAGTGGTGGGGGCTGGGGCGGCACACACATGTTAAAGTGAAAGTAGCCTTGTTGATTAACATCCTTCAGAGTTTACCCACATTGGAAAGGTCGCCAATTTCACTGATAATAACATTCCTCTATGCTGGCAATGCCGCAACAGCTGTTGCGAGAGCAAAGCGGAAACGGAAAGAGCGCACCGGAAGTGACTTGGCCAAGTGGCTTTTCCCCAAACAAATTCAAAACGCCAACCAATGTTATTATTGCCCATAAACAGAAACGGAAATTAATTAAAATATAAGTAACTAAAACACCAACGATTATGAAGTATTCCGTAGAAATATATTAACAGGAACTTTGGGGGTCAGTTGACCTCGAGTTGGAACTTGTGAAATATCTTAAATAAATTTATATGAATCCTTTTAAAAAGTATATATTTGTTTTATGTTTAAAAAGCACTACAATGTTTATAAATGCTTAAACTTCGTTTATTCTTATGAATTTTATAGTTTCGACACTAGTTTAAGCTTAAATAAATAGTTTACAATAAAATTGTATTTTAAAATGTTTAAAAACTAACTTTTACGATTACTTTTAAATATCTGACGATTAAGACAACGAATATGTGACTTTCTTATTCAGAAAACTTATATGAGAATTTGTTATTCTGACTGCAAGCCTCTTGAAACTGTAACTCAAACCAGAAACGTGACAGTATATCGCGAGCATAAGCTATCTGAGAAGTTCTGTTTGTCAAATCAGAATCACTTAAGCTACATTTACATGACGGTTTCTACGTCGAATACGAAGCCCCAGCAACCGGGAAAAATGAGAAAGCAAATGCAAAAACTATAGGTGCACTATATAACCCAGTGAAGTTGAAAACTTCTTCGCACTCAGCAAAAATGGGCGAAATGTGGAACAAACCGTATATGGCAATAATAATGTTGTGTATGATGGCCAGCAGTGGATTTGCTATACCCACAGAGTTGACCAGATATACACAGTTGGGGTAATTATTTCATTATTACCTAATGTAAATAAATTGTAAAATATGAACATTTGGTCGTTCAACAGACAAGGACCACCTACGGAGGCTAACAACACCGCCGCTAGTAACCTGGTTTTGAAAACGGAGACTTCTTCGGCAGCTCCAGACTTTGAGTACGCTTTGCTGGGTGAGGATCCGAAGGATCAGCAATGGTTTCGAGTGAGTCTTACACCGAAAACTAACAAAACGGGCTATCGGGCACAGTTCGCCACTCGCAAACATCCACCATTCGATGCACAAGTTGCCCATCGACATGATAAGACCATTCAGGATCTACTCAACTGGCTGGACCGTTCCGAGGATCAAAGTCTGTGGAAAGTCTACCGTGACCTTTTGGAATACACTCCGCAGGCGCAATCATCGCAAGAGTTTCCTAATAGTAATGAGATCGAAAAGGAGGAAAGGTTCCCAAGAAAGCACGGATGCCAAAAGCACAATAATCGTCTGTTCCTTGTAGGAGAGGAAACTACCAGCACTACTCCAACACCATCACCAAGTAATAGTCAGTCTTCCAATAACTTGGTTTACTTTATAAAGGGGCTTAAGTAACCATTAAAAATAACAATATTAAAGCCCAAAAACTTCTGGTTATGGTAAATGGTACATTATGAATTACAATCAAAATTTGGAATTTATTTATTTAATTACTTTTGGATTATTTGAAAAACCTTTCGTTTGGCTTTTTATAAGAAATGTGAATTTAAATCCTAATTAGCTGAGAATTTTAAATTTAATTACAACCTTTTAAAATAAACGTTATTTTTTATATTAATAAAATATATGTGGAAATAAATAAAATCAACTAAATCTTTTCTTCACCACAGCATTTAAAGTAACATAGTTCCTGAGCTTTGTGTGATAATAGCTTTCACCTCATTTCTGCAACTTTCACCATTTTTTCTCTTATACACAAGTTTAACTTTTATAAGGGGCTAGGCCGGGTGGTTGAAGTTTGAAATTGCCTGATAAGCGAAACGTGGGCAACTAAAATGGGGTCTTGAACAGAATTGTCGGCCCAGTTAGCTGACACTTGCCGCTCCACTTTGGCTCACATTGGGTTGAACAAGAAAAAAGAAACGAACAAGTCAAGAGCAGAGCATGAAAAACTCTGAGCTTGACCCAAACTGCGACGGATAATTACTGTTTGGAGTCGCTCAGGGTCACCTGGCCATGTTCATCCCTATTGGCCCGCTCCAAGCGGATGTCCTCCAACTCGTAGGCCGCCCGGTAGGTCATTTTGCCCAGCTTCTCGTCGTAGACTAACAGACTGGGATTCAGGCGTGTTGAACTGCGATCCCCCAGAGATGTGTAGCCCTGATCGTAGAGGCAACAGTAGGGGAGATCATTGGCCCTCATATAGCTCCAAATGTCGTGGTAGCTCCACTCGAGCAGCGGGAAGATCCTCATCATCGCTGGCCAGCCGTTATCGCAGGGCATCATCTCGGTTAGACTAGGGCCACCGGGATCGCTGCGCCGGCAGCCGAGGAACATGGCCTTCACCTGCGGATCCTCGGCCAGCAACTGCTCGAAGGCCAGTTTAAGTACTCCCTCGTAGCGTCGCAACTGCAGTTCATAACGCTGAGCACACTCATCAACAAATTTATCCAGCTCTTCGAAGGGATCCGCGGACTTTATATAAACTGCTCGCAATGGCATCGATGGTGGTTTTATTTTGGCCAAAATATCCAATAACACAGTGCAATCCTTGCCACCATTGAAGCACAGCATCAACTCATTGGGCTTATAAAGGGTCATGGCCCGTTTTATTAATTCTGCGGAATGATCAAGTTTATCTCTCAACCGGTCATTCAATCTGCTTTTTTCAACAGGTGGAACATGTAAGCCACGATGTTTGAGCTGATGATGCCACATTCTGTGCCATATTTGCGGAGCAAATTTCATTTTTAGTAGCTCAACAGTACAATTTAAAAAAAGTTTGTAAAAAAATGTTATTTCGATAGATTTTTGAAATGAATGATTTCCTTGCTGCTTGGTTGCTTGTTTCATAATAGATAGTTAAATACCTGTTGTAAAGCCTATATTGTATTAGAGCAAAAATATGCACATGTATTACAATTAGAAGAAGACTTTTACGACTTATGTCCATCCGTTTAAATTTCAAAATATTTACAACTTAATATTGGTTTAAGACACATATAATTTATTTTAATTTCTTTATTTCCCAAAATGTAAAATAATGTTCTCAGAAAAATGTATAAGCTTTTTCTGAGGAAATCTGAAAATTGCATGTTAAGATAAATATACATAAATTGCAATGCCCCGAGATCTACTTTTATATTTCCAAAAGGCGTATTTAGAAATGCAAGCTAAGCTCACCCATTAAACCCAATTTAAATAAAATGTTAATGAAAAAATAGTTGCTATGCATGTAACTGAAAATGTTTTGCTATTCAATGCATATTGGGAACGCGAATTAATTTTATGTACGTTTTAATTAAACACATTTACGGATATAAATTCTCGAATCGCTTTTTTTCTTAATTGGTTGGAGAAAAAGAGTTGTGGAAATTCATGGTTTTTTTAATCCACAATATATAATTTTATTTAACTGATAGACATAATCTATTTCTCGGAATAAAGAAAATTACAAGATATTACTTTATTCAAACATAGATAAATTCTGATTTTTCAATTGTGCATTTACCATTTCCGTTATAGTTCGGTTCCGTTTTTTTTCATAATTTATAAATTTGGCATGCGACAATTTGTTTACTCATCAAGTTGAGTGGCCTAAAAAGTAGAGGAAATGTTTGTTCTTTTCGCTTACTGTTGGCCATGCAGAAAAAGCCCCACACACGATGACTTCGAGGGGTCGTTGGGCAAACTGAAAACTTGGTCAGTGCTTGTCTCTGCAGTTTTGGTTGCACAGCTCGGAGTATATAAAGCCCAAGTGGCGAAGGCATAATCATCGCAGTCTGCCACCAACCAGTCTAAGAAATCACCACCCAATCACCATGAAGTGCATCGCCATCGTTTCCACCATCTGCCTGCTGGCCGCTTATGTTGCCGCCGATAAGGAAGAGAAGATGGTGGGCTCGTCCTATGGAGGTGGCTACGGCGCACCGGCCGCTGCTCCCGCTCCGTCCTATGCCGCTCCAGCTGCGCCATCCTACGCCGCTCCTGCTGCCCAGGCCTACGCCGCTCCCGCAGCTCCATCCTACGCTGCCGCTCCGGCCTCGATCCCGGCCCCTCCTTGCCCCAAGAACTACCTGTTCAGCTGCCAGCCCAACCTGGCCCCAGTGCCATGCAGTGCTCCGGCCCCCAGCTACGGATCCGCCGGTGCCTACTCGCAGTACGCCCCCGTCTACGCTCAGCAGCCTCTTCAGTGGTAATCAATAGATGCCACTCAACCCATTGAAACAACGACGAATTATTTAAAAAAAAAATACAACAAATATATATTTATGATAAAGCGTAACACTTGACTTGTTTGAATTTGTGGGCTTATAGATGGAGAACTACAGGGCAAGTTTAATACATTTAAAACCCATAATTTTATATAAGCATACAGGTTCAAAGGATCACTGTAGAACAAATAATAATACAACCTTATACATATAATAAGCTAAAAACTCCTGCTTAATATGGGAAGTTTGCGAATAACAAATTGTCTTAATTGAGCTGTACAAAGAAACATTTTAGATAGTGAGACGACAAAAAAATATACCTTTGTCTATCGAATTAAAATACAGTATAATCCGGTTATACCGACTCCGCTTATAGTGTCCGTCCGGTTATTGCGACGAAATCTCGATGGCTTGGTTGGTTCCCATACAAACTTTTGCTCTTTGCTCCTTTTCGTTAGTGCGTCTTTCGGGTATAACGACGTAAAATCGTCGGTCCCTTGAAATACGCTATACAAGGATTTTACTGTATTTTCTAAATCCATTAAATTTTTTAATTTGGAACAGATTAGTTTTAATTTTAACTGAACAGATTTTTAGAGATTTCGTTTTTTCTGACATCTTATTAAATAGTATCATTGATTTGCCTTTTTGTACAACTTTAAAAAATTTTAAAGAAACCATTATAAAATTAACGATCATAAGTTCGATCCAATATACGTAACCAATGTGGTTTTTATATTGCTTAAATTCTTACATAAGTAAAGGCACTTTAAACAGTTTAGGTATGTCATTACATTTCGGTAAAAAATAAAAAAATTGGGAGTATCCAACTATATGGCTTATGTTATACCTTTAATAAAACTGAATAAAACAGTCAAATCATTTGGAATCAGCTTACTATAAAGCGATACCTAACTAGTGTATAGCAGCATTAACTAATGGTAAAATAAAAATTTAGACATCAGTAAGAATTAAAATCGTTTTGCTCGGATAAAAAGAGCGTCAACTCATTAATTTTTGCTGCTTACCAAAAAATTAGTTCGTCAGTGCTTGCCTCTGCAGTTTTGGATGCAAAACTCAGAGTATATAAAGCCCAAAAGCGAAGGCAGAAGCATCGCAGTCTGCTACCAACCAGTCTAAGAAATCACCACCCAATCACCATGAAGTGCATCGCCATCATTTCCACCATCTGCCTGCTGGCCGCTTGCGTTACCGCCGATAAGGACGAAAAGATGGTGGGCTCATCCTACGGAGGTGGCTACAGCGCGCCGGCCGCTGCTCCCGCTCCGTCGTATGCCGCTCCAGCTGCTCCATCGTATGCCGCTCCTGCTGCTCCATCCTACGCTGCCGCCCCGGCCTCGATCCCGGCCCCTCCCTGCCCAAAGAACTACCTGTTCAGCTGCCAGCCCAACCTTGCCCCAGTGCCATGCAGTGCTCCAGCCCCCAGCTATGGATCCGCCGGTGCCTATTCGCAGTACGCCCCCGTCTACGCTCAGCAGCCTCTTCAGTGGTAATCAGTAGATGCCACTTAACCCCATGAAACAACGACGAATGATTAAAAAAAATACAACAAAATATATATTTATTATAAAGCGTAACACTTGACTTGTTTGAATTTGTGAGCTTATACAGGGAGAAATACTGGTCAAGTTTAATATATTAAACACCCCTAGTTTTTTATTAGCATAAAGTTTCAAGGGATTACTGTGGAACACATAATAATACAACCTTATATAACAAGCTAAAAACTCCTGCTTAATACTGAAAGTTTGCGTATAAATTTGTCTTTCGAATTATAACTCCGCTTATAGTGTCCGTCCGTTTATTGCGACGAAAACTTGATGGCTTGGTTGGTCCCCATACAAACTTTTGCTCTTTGGTCCTTTTGGTTAGTGCGTCTACCGGGCATAACGACGTAAAATCGTCGGTCCCTTGAAAGTCGTTATAACCGGATTTCTAAATCGATAAAATTTTTTAATTTGGAAAAAACTGAACAGATTTTTAGAGATTTCGTTTTTTTTTATATCTTATTAAATAGTATCATTGCCTTGCCTTTTTGTACAACTTTAAAAATTTTTAAAGAAACCATTTCAATATCAACGATCATAAGTTCGATCCAATCTTTTATCTGAAGATAGTGCTACAACAGACCCATGTTGTTTTTATATTGCTTAAATTCTTACAATAGTAAAGGCACTTTCGGTAAAAAGTCAAAAAATTGGGAGTAACCAACTATATGGCTTATGTTATACCTTTAATAAAACTGAATAAAACAGTCTAATCATTTGGAACCAGCTTACTATAAAGTATGAAGCAGCGTGAAGAAATAGTGAATTAAAAACTCACTATAAAGCTATAACTACATGAGTTGTTTACAAAATGAGTTAAAGTGAAATTATAAAGTGAAAGGTGGTTTTAAATGTGAAGACATCAATAAGAATTAAAATCGTTTTGCTCTGATAAAACGAGCGTCAACACATTAATTTTTTCTGCTTATCAAAAAATTAGTTCGTCAGTGCTTGCCTCTGCAGTTTTGGTTGCAAAGCTCAGAGTATATTAAGCCCAAAAGCGAAGGCAGAAGCATCGCAGTCTGCTACCAACCAGTCTAAGAAATCATCACCCAATCAATATGAAGTGCATCGCCATCATTTCCACCATCTGCCTGCTGGCCGCTTGCGTTGCCGCCAATCAGCAGAACCCGATGTTGGGTTCGTCCTATGGAGGTGGCTACGGCGCACCGGCCGCTGCTTCGTCGTATGCCGCTCCAGCTGCTCCATCGTATGCCGCTCCTGCTGCTCCATCCTACGCTGCCGCCCCGGCCTCGATCCCAGCCCCTCCTTGCCCCAAGAACTACCTGTTCAGCTGCCAGCCCAACCTGGCCCCAGTACCATGCAGTGCTCCAGCCCCCAGCTACGGATCTGCCGGTGCCTACTCGCAGTACGCCCCCGTCTACGCTCAGCAGCCCATCCAGTGGTAAATTGATTAATAGAAGCCACCGACCCATATGGAACTTTAACAGCAATAATTGAAAAAATAAAAAAATATATTTATGATCATGCATAACACCTGATGTTTTTCATTTTATTATTATCTGGGGAGATATTAAAAATATAAAAACTAATCTGCAAGTCTTTTCTTAAAATATGACCATTGAGCTATAAAAAGTACAAAAAAATGTTAATCTTCGATAGACAGCCCAAAAAAAAACATATTTAAAATCAATTTCTTTTTTTCGGACATCCTGTTTAAAAATCATTGCCCTTTTCGTATAACTTAAAATATTCCCAATCAAAATATGATACAAATCAGCAAACGAATCCATGTTGTTCATTATTGACTATCACTTATTCAAAAGTAAAGAATATTTGAATTGTTTAGGCAAGTTTGTCTTTAATTGTATCTTTTTAATTAACACATTCGTAGTTAATAAATTTTCGTAAAAAAAGAACAATAAACGTTAACAAACTTTATGGCTTATGTATTAAAGTTGCTGAATGAAACAGCCGAAGCACTTGGAATCAGCTCACTATAAAGCTATAACTACATGAGTTGTTTACAAAATGAGTTAAAGTGAAATTATAAAGTGAAAGGTGGTTTTAAATGTGAAGACATCAAAAAGAATTAAATTCGTTTTGCTCGGATAAAACGGGAGTCAAGCACAATGTTTTTTTTTTGTTTAAAAAAAGGAGTGGTTGACCTATCCTTAATAGTCTTCCGCATCAACAACATCATCAAAAAATCGCGCTGCCTGTAACTGTTTTCTTATAGCTCCTACTTGGGTTAGGATTTTAGGAGATGATGTTGAAACCGTGAACTTTTGCACGGCAGGGACCTGTTAATAAAAAAATTAAAATATATTTTTAAAAATTTATAACTGAACTTTAATGAACACTTACCTCCCAACGCTTCTTGAGATTGTCCATCTTTCGCTGCCCATTTTGAGCCAAGGGTGCTCCGGTCTCCTGCCGCGTCATTTTGGGCATCTCGCGCAGCAGAGGCATTGATAGATTGTGACCAGCCGCCTCCCTGAGAACCACATCACGTCTACCCAGCGATTGAGGTGTCGTTTGAGTGCCTCGATGCCGTGATTCGCTCTTGCTGCGCTGCAACTCCAACTGCTGCAACTTCTGGTGCTGCTTGGTGGCCAGATCGCCGTAGTTCTTGAGGTAGCGCGACAACCTCTGATCCGTTTGACGTCGCACCCGCTCCACAGCCTGCTCGTCGGCGCTGTCCAGCTCAAAACTGGTATTCGCACTGCCCGAGGTCGCCGGCAACTGTTCGAGGATAGACGGCTTTACAGGCGTGGCCTTGTAGTCGGCATGGAATACCGAGTTGCGCGCTATGTTAACAGAATAAGGAGGCGATATATCAGCCATATTACTGGCCTTTGAATCTTTTGCTGGCGGCACAGCATAGTTCAGTTCCAGGACTTGAAAGGAATTGTTCGAGGGCGGCTCCCTGGTGGTTTCCGTGTCATTAACATGCGTGCGTTCCGTGTCCCTGCCGCAGGCAACTTCCTCCAGGCAAAAAGAGCACAGATTGCGGCGACAGTTCATACATACATTCCGCTCCCGCTGGCAAGCTCGGCAGACATCACTTTTGGCCAGGCACTGGCTGCACATGGCATAGAGGCGCTCGCACTTGTGGCACACAAGCGCATAGCTGTTCTGGCAGTTGTGGTTGGGTTCCTCCGCTTGATCATCGTCCTGCTCTGCCTCATCCTTGCCCTCCTCTGAGTCGTCGCTTGGTTTGTCTGCATTTTCTCCATTACGCTTGGGATCCTTTTGTTTCAGTTTTAGGGCCAGTTTCCGCTGGCATCGCAGGCAGCAACTCTCGTAGCTCTTGAGCGGTTCGTCGCAGAGCGGACAAATCTTGTCGCATAGGTGGAAGCACTCGCGCTCGATCTTGGCCATTTGGGGCACGTCAAAGTCCAGCTCAACCGCAGGCGGCAATGGCTGACCACGTCTGTACTCGTGATGTGCAGAGTTACTAAAGTATTTGTATACCCTGTTGGCGTTGCTTTCTGTGCTGATATTACTGGCGTTGTTGCTCTTGCCTTTAGTGCGCGTTGTTCTAGGCGTTTCAGCTAGATTGTTGGTCTCCTTGGCGTGCAGCAACTGGGCATCCTGTTCCAACTTGGCCAACAACTGTTCACGCATCAAGCGGTTCTGTTCCGAGTCGATGCGAGCCTGTCAGCATAGTGAAGGAAATTTGGAGAAGGTTTATTCAATTACTCAACAAAGCGATATGCAATTAACTATCATTAAGTTTAGATCGAGGAAATCAGAGGTCCTAATACTCCTATCAATTACACTTCATTTTCTCTGTTCAGCAATTTATTTTGGGGCCAAAGATTGTAAATCTAATGGTAATACCAATCAATGACAATTACGTCGAATAGAATTTTCGGATAAGTAATTACAATCTAGTTATATAAATAAACTCAAGGTTCTTCGATTGGCTCGTAATAAAGTGTTCGGTTTAGTACTGCGATAAAGATTCTTAAAACCCAGAGTAATTTATTATGGCTGAACAAAAATTTATATTTAAAAAATAATTCATTTGGAATTAGTATAGTATTTTTTATAAATCAAATGTTAAATGACGTAACGTAATCAAATTAACAACTAAGACCCATTAGAAACCAACTTTTAGCGTGGCAAGACAATTTGCACAAATATGTTATTTCTAGCACAAATATGTTATTTCTAGCACATTATTTTTAAAAGAATCATTAAAAAGACTTCAAATTAAATCAGTTGTAATAAGTATAACCTTTATCTCTTACCCTTTCAGCTCGCAGGCGCTCCTTCTCCAACTGCTCCTCCAACTGTATTGTCTTTAATTGTGCCTCCAGCCGTCTGTTGACAAATATTAATAGTTGTATTATAGAATGAAAAGGATATTTCAAATTAATAGATTACCTGGTTAAAGCCTCCTCCTGACGACGCTCCTTTTCCCTAATCAATTCTATTGATCGACGCTTCTCATCAATTTGCTGCATTAAATCCCGCTGGTAATCCTTTTTGCGAGCTGTTTCCAGCTCGGCGCTCCGCAGATTCCGCTCCATAATACCATCTCCTGTCACAATATTCGACAGCTCCACATGACCCAGATCATGGAGGAGTTTTTGACGTGTTGTGCCGGGCCGAATTTTAGGCGGCACATAGTTGGGATTACTATTTACAATTAACTCTAAGTCAGTCTTATCCGTTGTGCTGTGGTTCGAGGTGCTTGTGCTAGATTGGCTGGAGCGGTTTTGTGCCGGAACCGCAGCGGGTTGGGATGCCTTCCTCACTTGTCCCGGTCGCTGATGCTTGGTGACCGGCGGATGAAGCATCTACAAGGTATAGCAAGCAAAAAAATATTATTGTAAGCTCATAAATTAAACACGGATTAGCATTACGAATGTTCGCACATAATCAAAATATTTTTATGGTAATATCGAAACGCTCACCTGGTGCTTGAGAAAGTTCTGCTGGTTCTCGCGCTGTCGCTCACGCAAATAATTCTGCCGCTTCTGATTTTCATTGTTAAAGCCAGGAAAGTACGAATAAAATGTGTCCGTAACCCATTGCTCCATATCATCCTGCGTGCGAGAGAGAAAAGAAATGTGAAAGGGCCGTCGTCCTTACAGGTGAGTGGTTCTGGGGGGTAAGTATATATGTTCATATATTCCTTATCGGGTGCTTTCTTAGCTTTTTTTCTAATTCCCCGTGTTTCGTTCGGCGACACTAACCACCAGCAAGAAGCTTGTATACATTTTTATATGTGGCAAGGGCCACAAATTATCCTGGCTCCGTTCTCCGACTGCTTTTGAGGTCAGCAGCACCAGCACTTCAGCAGGAGCTGCTCCAGCGAACACTCCACAATGCCTACTGCCATTTTTGCACATAATTTTTATGCCGTCGACATCGCAAATCGCGTGCACCGATGGCATCAACAAAATTATATATAATACAAACTACGAACTGGAGACAAGGGGTCGACTAAGTTATTACCCAGTTGTTCTAATAATTTAGAAATAACAAAAACAAAACAAAACTTCACAGATTGTTTATAATTAGTTGTTTACAACTTTTTTTAAAAATTTTTGCACTTTATGCAAGAATATTTAAAATACATACTCGTAATATAAATTTAAATAGTAGAACCTATAAAGAATTTGCTGCAGTCACCCAAAAATCAAGTACTATATGTAATATAATTTTATAATGTTTTAGACTATCTTCTTGTTATTGATTTGTTCCTTTTATCCTCATCCTTTAGCCTTATATGCTCTTTTTAGTGAAAGGTAACAAAAATAATAACATAAAGGACGAGACGCTTCGTAAAACGACTAACGGCGCCTTTAGCACTCGGCTGAGACGCCTTTCCACGCCAGTTTATCAACAAGAGCCAGCTGTTTCAGCCTAGGGGTGCTCCTCCAGTCGAAAGGAAACCTGCACTTCAATTTATTAGCTGCATGCATTACGCTTCACTCGCTATTAGCACTGATGATGTGCGCCTTAATTAAAGTACGTTTTAACGTTTTCATCGTTTGAGGTAAGTGCCTGAATAGACCGAGGATATCCGAGTAACTGCTTCTGCTTTGCATAATTAAGACCAATTTAAGCAGGCGATTGTTAATAGTTGGCAAAACGATGAGTCCTACTATGCACGCTGAAAAGGCAATAGTTTTCTAGCAATTCAGGTCAAGGAAAATATCAAAATGAAGACTGAAAATCAGATGGGTATGTGTTGAAAAGGAGGGACCTGAATTAAGGGTCACGCAGTTCATCTCAAAGTGGGGGAAATGGTGGCAATTCCGGGCTAAGTTTTTTCTTATGCTATTAACCGAAGTCTATAGCCTAGACCACAGTGGTTTGCACACAAAAAAGGCTTTTAGCTTCAACGTCTTGAAAGGAAACCAATTTATTTTTTGATAACAAATCTAGATCTTAGGCGTAATCAATGATTTTCTTTTTTAATTTGTCATATTTAATAAGTTTATATAATATTTGCATAAACATCTATCAAAGTTAAGTAGCCCACTGTAGGTCTGCAATTTTAGCAACTGTGTTTACTACGCCCATTCATCGGATTTGATTGCGTGTCGCATCGAAATTGGGTTAACTAAGTGCCAGCTAGTTTGTGTACGAAAAGTGGAAAAACTGATGAAAACGCGTGTGAAAGCTGAACGGGAATGGATGCCTTTGTTGTCGCCACGCATCGCTGTAAGTTCAAGGGCAGTCAATGGAATTTAAAGCGGGGGCGACGGATCTATTGAAAGTATTTTGACCACTTTGACAGTCAAATGACCTCAATTTACCCAAAACAACGTCATAGCTGCTAACGAAAGGAAAACGATTAATCCGACCATCCTCAACAAGCAGTTTAATTACAACTTGTCTACTCACAACCTTGTCCAGGTCGTAACTTTCGTTTACAGTACATTTGTACAATTCTAATGGTGTGCGAGTTTCCGTGTTTGCTTCAATTTTATTAGCCAAAAGATATCTATATATATAAACACAACAATGCATGCAATTCTATATCTGTATATATTTCAGCTAGTTAGTTTCAGTTAAACAGAAAATAGAAAAAAGAGTTCAACCAAACACACAATATATTTCTATTGTGTATGTTTGGTTGAACTACTTTTAAATTTATAGTTAAGGAAGGAAGGAACTTCAATATCCATTATCATTAGCAATTTATGAAATTCATCGCAGGGCGGAGTTGACAGTTGGGCGATTCTAGCACACGTAGATTGTGCACTTTCACACAAATAAACAATAAAAAAGAAAGTGAGTCGACAAAACAGAGAAATACAGCTGTGCACGCTATAGACTAAATATACAAACATAAATTTGCTATAAGTTAAAACATAAAGACAATTCTTTAATGTATGTTTAATTTGTAAAATCCAAGTTCTCTTTTTATAAATTTGAATAATTACATTTGGGTTGTATATGTTACGGAATAATGGAAAAGGTTTTTTTCTTTGTAGATCATACTGCATATATCTGGACAATTGATTGATTGACAATTAATTTTACACTTCCTTAGGTTTAACTGAAGCATGTCAGTCAGTTTGTGTATTTTTAGAAATCGTTCAATATTTGGTTTACGTCATTTTGATTTTTGGGTTAAAATGTGGCGTTTGCCGGTTTGCTAAATCAAGTCAATTAGACTGCCTCTTTCATTGTGTTCCGTTCGGTGGGTTTGATTTGCCGGCAATCAGGGGCACTCCCGCACATCCCGCTCACCTCATATAGGTAAAATTTGTGGGTATATAGAGAACCGATTGAGTGCTAAGTAATTTCAAGTTCAGGTCAACAAAAGCAAACGCAACAAACGAGCTTCGAATTACAACTGAGAGCGGTGCCAGCAAATTCATTAAGCGAATGGCTCGTTCACAGAGCAGAGCCGGAATAGTTGGTAACTGGAGCACGGAATGGACTTACTACAGTAGCAAAAACTACAGGCCATGCAACATTGATAGCGGAAGGAAACGAGGCCACACTCAAAACGCAACAAAACACAGAAAAGTCAAAAGAAATAATGTGAATAATTAAAATGCCGAACTAATTTGGCTGTTCTCGAATCCACACACAGGTGGGGGTGCTAACGAATAAGCTATGCAATCTAAATGGTAGGGTGAGCAATTATTTACAAGACCTGCGAGAACTTAAAGCATATAAATAATGCAAATTGAAAAGTGAAAACGGGAAAGCCCAGTCAGCTTTTTCTTAGGCGTGTTAAACTTTTCCACTATAGCAAAAAATGCACTTACAACTGAAACTCAGATAAATTTAATTCTATGATCTTAAAGACAATAATGAACTGAGATGCAAGACAACATTGTAGAATCTCTACTTGGGCCGGTTACTTACAAAAATATGTTCACAATCGAGTCGAATATGGATATTAAACTACAGTTCAACTTTTCTAACTCGAATTTCCTTAGCTCGAAGCATCTAATTTGGAATATAGAATACAAATAAACGACAGTTTCCGTATGGTGGGCACATAAAAAGGAAGGTCTAAAATCTAATCTTAAGGTTTGCAAAATTACTTGGACTCACTGAATAGCACGCAGCCAGCTAAGAACACTTCGAAAAGTTTTATGAAACTGATATGAAGATTCCAAAAGACTTTTGGGAAAGCTTGGAAGACATGAGTAGCTCAACGAGGCGTAGAAAAACAAATTTCGCACAATTATGGCTGGCCGCTTGACAAATTGGCAATGCGAGGCGCCATTGAAGCGCAACGCACATTCTAGAGCTCCAAATCAATGTGCACAGACAAAAAATAATGCTAAATCTATACTAAATCTATAACTAATAGCGTAAGATGGCCCAACTCAGGCACAGATCATCTGCTTGTAAAAAAGGTGGTATCTGGTACAATATTATGATAAATCATTAAATTGTTTATCTTATCATTTCTGTAAGTGAGTAATGCTAGCACAGGCTACGCTGATTTTACGATTTTTTATACTCTTCAGGATAAATACATAGGATTTTCGTAAAGTGTACTTACCGACCGACGGATCGGGAAGCGGTTCTCGCTGACGGGTCGCTCGTTCTCCAAATTGCGCCGTATCGAGGCATCCGGCGACTTGTACTGACGAGCGCTGCCGACGAGCAGCTGGCGCTGATTCGCGAATTCCTTGGTCGATTTCGAGGGACTGGGGTGCACCACCCCCTCCGGAAGCTCTGCACCCTCCTCTTCATCCAGGTGCAAGTCCAAGTGAAGTTCTTCGTTTTGGCCGACGGTTGCCAAGGAAGACGACTGAGTGGCGGGTTCATTGGACTCCGTGGGTTCCTTAAACTCCTTGGCCCTGCGACATTGCACTTTGAGGTCGGTGGACTTCATTAGCAGGGCGGCAGGGCAAGGATTTTGGTTGGCCAGGCGCTGGCGTTCCTTTTGCAATTGCTGGCGCTCCAAGGAAAGAAACTGTTGCAGGTCCATTTCTGAATGAATGTTGTCCAGATATAAATACACACCAAAAACATGGGATAATTTCATTAGATCTGGAAACTCACCATATTGCAAATTGCTCCGATTCACTTTTACTCACTGAATGCCAATGCAACAAAGCTTGTGTTATTATTTGCGCACTATTTAAATGGGTAAATGACGCTTCCCTTTCGAATGTTTTCCGCGTTCTATGTTGTTTAGTGTGACCGTATTTGTATACCTGTTACTTCTCCCACAACACACACACTTACGCGTTAAGCAACAGCAACAAAAGGTCACCCTAATGCAACAGTGCTGGAAAACTTCAAACCGGAAACTGTTATTAAACTGTTAAATTAAATTTTAAACTTTAAGTTTGAATATATGTAGTTTCTGTTACTCGTTTTTATATTGTTTTGAAGTGTGACTTTGAAGTTCATGTTTAATAATAAAATGCATTATTTTACTTGACCATAATCTTTTCATAATTGCAATGTTTTTTTTAAAGGTTTTAAAATATTTTCGAATGTTTCAATCAACAGCCATTTTTAATTTTTGTAATAAAAATCGTTTTGCACACAACGTATTCCGAGACAAATCACTCAGAGATATCCATCCGTTCGGCTTGTGGTAATTTCATAAATTTATTAAGCACACGAAAAGAGAATTCATCGGAAAATTTCATTTTGTTATTTTAAGAGTAAAAAAAGCCAGTCCAACGTAAATTATTCACACAAATCTTACATCTCTTGGATCAGATTGCGGCAATTTCATAGATATTTTTAACACAAGAAAAACGGGTATATTTTTCTAAGTAATTCGAATCCTGATATATCGCGATGGGCACTTTGGGCAACCAGTTCATTTTGTCGCGGGAGCGTCGTCGCTTTGGAAGGCAGTGCCTCTTCACGGACCGCAACGAGATGATCCTCAGTGTGCAGCCGAGTGGACGCCTGCGCCTCAAGTACATCCTGCGCAACCCGATCAACGAGCGGACGCAGCTGAGCGAGCAGTACGCCGTGTCCTCGGCCTTGACCCACAATGTCACCCTGGATTCGCACGGACTAAATCACTTTGAGGGCGGTTGGAACATTAAGGAGGTGAACGTGGCGGACGAGGAGTCCACAATGCGCTACCGCAAAAAGGTCGAGCGCGATGATACATGGGGCGTCGAGGTGAACCAACTGATGCACGACGTGATGGACATCAGTTCGGCCAACAATGCCATAAATATCTACGAGGACTTCTTTGTGAACCTGCCTGCGGATCTGGGTCATGGCATCAGCATGAAGATCGCGGCCAGGGGCATTCACATTTTCCACGACCTCTGGATTCCGTCGCGCAGTCTCAAGATGTGTGAATGGCTGAACACCGATCCCAATCAGTTCGTCCTGACGTACTCCAACCCAAGAAGCTTGGCTCCAGACTATTCGAAACCGCTGAACATGTTGCCCGACTTTGGCAACGACAATGAAAATGCATTTTACGTTTGGGACTTGGATGACGCCACCCGCCCGGTGGCCCACTACGATACGGGAAGGGTCCTCCGGATTGCAAAGGTGTGCCTGCGGGACGAGAGCTATATGGTGGGAGGACTCAATGAGGGTCAGGTGTGCTTCTGGCAAACGGATTCTATGGGCGGGCCCAAAAGGATGTGTCCCCTGGAGGCGTCACATCGCGAGGCCACCTCTGCCCTCTGCTGGGTGCACTCCAAGCTGAACACCGAGTTCTACTCCGGCTCGCTGGACGGGTCTATTAAGTACTGGGACACCAGGGATTTGCTCATGCCGGTGAACGAGGTCCTGGCCGAACCATATCCCATGTCCGTACAAAAGCGGGAGGACTCGCATGGCGTGACTGTGCTGGAATTTGAGTACACCATTCCGGTGCGGTACATCATTTGCACCGACATGGGCTACGTGTTCGTGGGCAACCGTAAGGGAGCCACTCCGCAGGAGACCCTCGTCGGTTGCTACCAACTGTTCGTCGGTCCCATTCGCGCCGTGATGCGTAATCCGTTCTTCGTGAAGAACTTCATCCTGGTGGGCGATTGGCGGGTGCGCATCTGGTCGGAGGAGGTGAAGAATTGCCCCAGCACCTTCTACTTCCGCCGGAAGAACCAAGTGCTCAGCGGCGCCTGGAGCACCGGACGCTGTTCGATGTTCTGCATCGGTGACGACCAGGGCAACCTGGAGTTCTGGGATCTACTCATGTCCCACACTCGGCCTATTTTGACCATTAAGTACAAGCACCCCATCACCCATCTGGTGTTCAAACCGGATGGATCGATTCTCACCGTGAGCCTGGCCAACGGCGACTGTGCGATGCTCCGGATGGAGGAGGGCATGCGCAGTGCCACGCTCAAGGAGAAATCCCTCATGATGTCGGTAAGTCCCAGCAATCCTCCCCAGAAATTTATTTCTCTTATTTATTTTTCCAATGGCAGATGTTCGAGCGGGAGATATCACGCTGCAAACTTTTGGAGGCTCGCGAGGAGGAGATGAAGTTGAAGAAGCGCCTGACCACAATTCATTTGGAGGAGGAACGGAAGTCCAGGGAGAAATTGGAGGCGAAGAAGAAGAAGGGTCAGGCCAAGAAGGATCAGGAGCCCAAGGTTGAGGACGAGGCCACCATGTTCCTCAGGATGATTGAGAGTGACACTGAATTTAGCAAGGCTCTTTTGGAATTCAATGAAGCCATCGAAAACATCGCCAATAAGCGTGCCAAGCGGGTTTTCACCATGGAACGCACTGTATTCGAGAGGGATCAATACCAGGTGCAGGCCTAATAAGGACGGGACCATCTTTCCCAATTGTATCTTAACATTTTCATAGAGTATTATGTATGTAACCAGTTTGTGCATTTTAATAAAAGCAATGTGAACGAAGTTATACTCAGAATTTGGGTTGGGTTCGAACCTTGTAGGCCAGAGATTATTCGAATATTAAATGTTAGATGTTAGTTAGATGTCTAAAACCATATTACTATTCAGACACAGCCTAATTTTACCTTTCGACAAGGAGAAGTAGGCCATGAATTGAGACCAAATCGACTTGTCATTTTAAGTTGTGAAAAGGAAAGAAAAGTAGGCTGATAAAATAACGTTGAGCAAGTCACGTCAGTAGAAGTTAAATTGTTTGAGTAACTCAGAGAGCATAGGTACCATTTTTCGTTTCCTAATCCAATCCAAACTCCAGATTTCAGAGCTCCAAGATGGCCGGCAGTTCCAAGATTGTGGATCAGAGTTTTGCCTGGTACTCCAGCTTCTACGGCACCATCAAGCAGATGCCCATCAATATTGCACTCGTGATCGTTTCGACCATCGTATTCTACAAGGTTGTGAGACTTTCCAGGCGTCTTCACCGCGGTCAGGATCCAAGGGAACCGGCTAAGGCTAATGGTGGCCAACGGAAGCTACCCCCTCTGCTGAAGGACTTCACGATCCCGGAACTTCGCGAATACGACGGAACCCGGGAGGACGGTCGCATCCTGTTGGCCGTCAACTTTAATGTCTACGACGTGTCGCGATCCATGCACTATTATGGACGCGGCGGTGTTTACCCAAGCTATGCCGGTCGGGATATTTCACGGAACTTGATCCATTTTTCGGTGGAGTCAAATGAAAGCGAAGAATACGATGACTTGTGCGATCTTTCAACCAGCCAAATGAACACTTTAAGGGAGTGGGATCAGCAGTACAAGGAAAAATACCCATTTGTTGGAAAACTTTTGCGCCCAGGAGAGGTTCACACCAACTATGACGACGAGGAGGATTCGGAGTAGGAGCAGTAAGTTCCGTAACTGGAATGAAGACGACTTTTGTAAACGTACAATTATTTGCGGGAATTCAAATAAAAAGAAACTGAATGAGTTGGTCTGTGGTCCGATTCTACAAATAGCGCATTGTTAATATCCATTATTCAAATTACGTATATTTTGGTTGGCACTTAATTTTAATTTTATTTTACAAAATATTACAACTTTAAGGAACAACTCGGGTTGTTTCCTAGATTGGTTCACAGAAACCACACTTTTATTTTAATTTTTAAAATGTGTGCGCCTAACAGCCCGCACTTAACAGCACGGTGTCGGCACGTGGAGGTATTTTTTAGCACTTTTCTTACATCCGCGGCAGCCACACTAATTTGGCTCTGCTTTTCGTTTCCACTTCCGTTTTCTTTTCTTTTCGTGTTTCTACGCCAGCAAGATGAAGTATGTTATCGAAAAATGAGCAAATACACTGTTAATTGTGTTATTTGGCATCGGCTAACCCCATTTTGGCAATAGTAAACAGTGCCCCCGCTAATAAGTGTGTTTTCATTTACAGAATTGGCTTGTGTGCATTCAGCGGGTACAAAATCTACCCCGGCCATGGCAAGACCATGGTTAAGGTCGATGGCAAGGTAGGTAATTTGGGTACTCCATGGATTCAGTGACTAATAACCGCTTCCGTTGCAGTCCTTCACCTTCCTGGACAAGAAGTGCGAGCGCTCCTACCTGATGAAGCGCAATCCGCGCAAGGTTACGTGGACAGTGCTGTACCGCCGCAAGCACCGCAAGGGAATCGAGGAGGAGGCCTCCAAGAAGCGCACCCGCCGCACCCAGAAGTTCCAGCGCGCCATCGTCGGTGCCTCGCTGGCCGAGATCATGGCCAAGCGCAACATGAAGCCGGAGGTGCGCAAGGCGCAGCGCGACCAGGCCATCAAGGTGGCCAAGGAGCAGAAGCGTGCCGTCAAGGCCGCCAAGAAGGCTGCTGCCCCCGCTCCTGCCAAGAAGTCGGCGCCCAAGGCGAAGGCCGCCAAGGTCACGCAGAAGGCTGCTCCCCGCGTCGGAGGCAAGCGGTAAACACCCCAACCATCTCCTCCTCGACGGTAGTGATGTGCTAAAGTTAATCCAGGATTTAAGGAACCACAAGTGAATTGAAAATTAAACAAAAAGCTGCGAATGCGAATTCGTGGTGATCAAAAAAAAGCTATCGCGTGTTTTTGTTTTCTCAAGTTTGGCTTGTAAAGTGGAATATACCTAAAGAAAAAAAAAATAATGCATATCAAGTAACAGCATATTTGCGGGAACATTTACTTGCTCCAGGCTCTAGCCTTTTATGTCATCTTATTGAGTAAATTCCTATATCAAATGTCCATGAGATATACACATTAGATTTGATCTTTTCCGAGTACATTGTTAAAGGTTTAATGAAAGTGTAACTTTCCTGGATAACGCGCCATTTTCAAATTAGTTTGATTGCTGACGTCATAATTTGAAACAAAAATCAGATTGAAAACATTTTAGTTATAAACTTATTTTTGCTTTACAACTGAATTCTGTTTTAGTAATCCCGAAATTAACAGATGATAATTGTCAATATTAAACAGGATGTTTTTTTAATCCATATATTTTCATAGCGCAATCAAACGAAGTTTTTAAAACTAGTCATCATCAAAAGTCTCTTACAATATAAGTGCAGTTATTATTTTAGCTCAGGATTAATCTACTCTTAACATGGTCATATATCTCAACAAACCCTAAATGAATTCAGTGCCGTATTTTTTGAGGCCAATAAAGTTGGTAAGCCGACCGATAGCACTGCCATGCACTTGAACGTAGGTCTGCATCGGATCGTAGAGCTCTGTGACCGGCTGCTCTTCGCCATCCGCGTCATCATCATCCAGCAGCGATTCCACATGCACCTTGAGCGGGCGCATCTCCATTAGTTGTACACAACCTAGATCGTGCAGAAGTTCCAAAAGGAACATAATATCCACCGGCACCAAGTGCGAAAACCGCAAGAACAAGCTGTGCACAGTGCAGCCGACCCGAGAGATGCTCTCGCTAAGGATGGCGCCCAGCCAGCGATCGAGGACACGGCGGTTGAGGGAAGCATTCACCCGGATCCATGGCTGCGGCCTCATGGCAATCGCATCCCGGGAAGCCTCCAGCGCCGAATTAGCAACCTCAATGGCGGGCTCATTTCGCGTAGCCCTTTTTGGACGCTTGGCAACAGATCCTCCCGCCTCGTCGCTTTCACTCTCTGTGCTCTGTTGTTCAATAAGTTTGATTTTCTTCTCCGGAACTGAGCTGGATGTTGCCTGAGCCTCCAGTTTACGCTTGTGACCAACGACGGCCATCAGTGTTCCCGGAGCCGCCGCCACCAGCGGTTGCACTTTCTCACGCTCCAATCGCTTGATGTGGAACGTGTGCACCACCCAGTTGCGTATGTGGTTTTTGTGGACGTACATGTGACTAACTATGCCCACGCGCTTGACGAGATCGTGGTCGGCAAGGAGGTGCAGAGTTTCCAACAGGAAGTCGCCCAGGGGAAAGATCCTGCGCAACTCTAGCCCCTTCACACCGAGAGTATGCTGTTCAATGTGATTGAGTATGTCCTCCATGTGGCGAATGGCACGTTCGTCGAATCCCTTTTCATGGAGGATGGGCCGAAGGGTTTCAAAGGTGTTCTCCGTGTACTGCCAATATGTTGCCCTGAAAGCAAAGTGGCAATTAAGGGTTTAAAACGAAATACAAGACAAGTTTGTAGCAAAAACATACTTGAGCACCTTGTCCAGGACCGAAGAGCGTAGAGTGTCAATTGCCTGTTTGCCTTCTGGTCGTTCCAAGACCTTCATGCTGATGGTGGGCAAATGGACTACGAAAACATCTTGCGCTCGGGCCCGCTCTTCTTTGTTCAGTGCCGGCTCGTATTCCTGAACGCGATCCGCTTCCCAGGAATGTGGCTCGTCGTCGAGCAGCTCTGCACAAATGGACCGCCAGTCGGTGAGTTTGTGCAGAGTTTTCTCAGCCAACTGTTTTCCCAAATCCTTGACTTCCATCGCCTGCTGGTGTCCCCGCCAGTAAGCCTCCAATTGCTGGGCAAATGGCAGGAGATTCGAGATGTTCAGAGTGAGCGGTGTGCCAGCCGGGTGAGATTCCAGTTGGAATTGCTGCGATGAGGGCAGAGCATCAGCAACCAGTTGCCGCAGAATGGGTCTTTGCTCGTGGGCTATCCGCTCCACAGCGTTCAGGTAGTTGCCGCTGCGCATGATGCAGTTGGTGAAGGGACAGTCTCCTTGCTCCAAACGCGCCTGACTTATAGAGATGGCCTCACTCAAAGCATCCAAAGCACAGAAGAAGTGCATGGCACGCAAGGGCAGCTTAGAGAGCTGGTTATACGCACTGGCCGGGAGTCGGAAGCTCAGGTTGGCGGGATGGAAGCGAACACGTGACGCATGACGGGCACTGCTTTCGCCCTCAAGCCGCTTAGAGTACTCGGTGTGCGGAGCGTTATCAAAGATGCAGCTGTAGTGATCCAGAATGCGATCCGAGGAAGAGCCACTTTGCCGACCCATGGTGGAAGTGTCCACAGTCAAGATGTTTGCTGGGAGCTGCAGCGAAAGGCGAAGCCGGTTCTCCGACAACCACTCGCCCATCACCAGGAGTTGGGCGAAGTGTGGCGAGGCAAGCTGTTGCTCCTGGTCCTCCCGTAGCTGCTTATCCAAAGCAAAATAGCCGTCGTAGACGAAGTGCGTCAGCTTAGTGTAAGTCAGGCGGTACTTGTACTTGGAGCTGAGTAGGTGTCCAGGTCCTGTTATCTGCCGGCTGGCCGCCGACTGGATATTGCGCCTCTTCACCGCCACCAGCAACGAGTCCGCCCGCGCCTTGTTAAAGGCTGAGTTCAGTACTTCCTCGGAGAAGTGTTTGTAGATCTCGAACGTCTGCAGGTTCAGCAACGTCTTGTCCTTGGCGCAGCATATGTTGCTGTGCAACACTCCGTGGGCCACCGCCACCTGAAGGTCCGTTTCCGTAGCGGGGTCCTGGAAGAGCAACTGCTGCTCCTCGTGCGCTGACCGACACTCGCGTAGTTGGTTGCCGAATGCGTCCAAGGAGTCTGGCAGTAGGAACTGTCTGGTGACAGAACCTTGCTTTAAAGGGAAAGGGTTTAAGGATGAGGCCAGTTTTGTCATCTTAATGGTTTAAACCGATATAAAAGTATGGAATTTTGCACTGTATATGTGCTCACGTTAGCCTTAACGTGAAGATGAGAAATCTTAAGAATTACACATGTACAGTGGGATTATAATGCTCTTATTATAGTTAGTTCATAGTTTTAAAACTTAAGCTAGCTTTATATAAATAAATATAAATAAATAAATAAAAATAAATATAGATCCTACTCACCGATTTTGCGACCATCCGCTGCAGCTTGGCCATCATGAGGGCAAAATGAACCATCAACGCCCCTTGGAAATCGGCTTTGTTGGGATAGTCTCGCTTCAACTGACTCAGGAAGCGATCGTTGTAGACCGTAGAAAACTGAGGCTGCGTCTGCATCGCATAGATCCAACCGGGCACATCCGGGATGTCCCGCCTCATCTTGACCAAGAACTGCACGCGGCGTACGCACGCCTGTGTGGTCTTGTTGCATATGCCCAACCAGCGGCGTATTAAATCCCGGCAGACGAGGGCCAAATCGCACAAGGTCAGGGTCATCGTGGGTGCGTCTATGAACATGTAGACGGCCCGGCCCATCTTGAGCAGCCGATCCTCCTCAGGCGCCCATTTGACACGTAGTGTGCGCATATTTCGCAAGGCATCCCGGTCGACGTCATCGCGCGGACCGCTCGACTTGTTCTTGGTTGTCTTAGCGGCAGACAGCTCGCGTGTTTTGCGTACCGCTAGCCGGGGACCTATCTTCAGACGCATAATAGTTGCCCGCTTGCGGACTGGTTTTTTCGCCCTCTCCCTTGCTGCTGCCGATTTTCCACCATTCTGACGCTGCACCCAGGACCAGTGGCGAAACTGATGGGCAAACAAGTGCGAGCCCAAGCCAGCGGCTCCCAGGTGATCGCCCGGAACTGTTCCATTGTCCAGCTCAACGGCCTGCTCAAACTCGACGGTGGGTTGGAATACTAGGACTTTTAGGCGCGCCGGTAGCTTCCTCTGCGAGCTTAAAGTTTTGCGGTATCCCAGCTTTGTGTAGATGCAGATGTGCTGCAGTTTGGCCCAGTAGTTACCTACTTGTTCTGCATTGAAGAACTCAAAGTTGAGCTGTGTGTACGAGCGATCGGCGCTGACCTGCATGTAATTGTGCTCAGTACTGGAAGTGGTATCCAGTAGGCGGGTGCGCTGATTCAGGAACACCCATCGATGCAGTGAGTCGCGACCCAGCTTTTGCTCGCTTACCTGGAATGGAGTCATTTAAATCAGTACAAGTTGCTCACATGAAGTGTGGCGCTCACCTGGATCAGACCCATGTTGTTCAGTAGCCGCAGAGTGCCCACGTAGAGCTGCTGCAACTTCAGACGTGGCACAATAGTATCCAATTTGAGCTGGGAAAGAAGGTAATGCTGGCGGATGGGATGCTGCAGCTGTACACGCAACTCCTCGCTGGCTTCGCGTTCAATGCGGCATATGCGTAGAAACAGGGAGAGCGGCATTCGGTCCATGGCGTCCATGAAGTACAGCCAGCCGGATGGTTTGTCCTCGTATCGCGGTAGAGGTGGGATAAAGGTGCGCCAGCTAATGTCTTCGGTATAGGGCGGGACGGTATCGGCCTCCGCCTGCCACTCGTCGAGAAACTGGCGAGGCTGTAGCGCTGGCTCCGACTTTTGCCACTTCTGTACTAATTCGGTGGTCATGGGAAGGGGCTTTTGATTCAGCGAAAGCTGGTGGTACAGATAGTAGAGGAACTCGTGCAAAGTCCTTGCCAGCAGCAGCTTGGGAGCCTGTGTCTTGCACACCACAATTGGACGCTCTGGCACAAGTTTTCGACGTGCCAGAACCTCCTTGCGTTCCCTGGGATGCAGCTGCGATGGTCTTTTCATCCGCTCTTCGGTAAGCAAATGGAAGTTGCTCTTGAGCTTGAGGATCTCGCGCTTCATGACCACGTGGTCAAGTCCGATTTTCGGGTGGGTGGCGAAGCGGTAGATGCGAACTCGTTGCTGGTAATGAAGGGTGATCTCGAACACGTTTATAACATGGTCTTCGACCAAAGGACGTAGCAGGCGCAGCAACGAACGACGACACAAGCTGTCCTTGAAACCTGTCCGGCGCTCCTCCTCCTGAAGGTTCTTTTGCAGCCGGTGTAGGGGCACTAGACAGTGCTGGTCGATCTGGCGTATAATACATTTCTGGCGACTTATTTGGCGCTGCGTCTGGTTGGTCGTTCTGCTCTTTTTTAATTTGAACGCTATGGGTCGAGCATTCATCACGATCTCGGGCATATCCTTCAGGGTGATTTCAGTGTTTTCGGTAATATTCTGGAAAAGAAATACATTTATTACAGCGGAGAACACTCATATTTAAACTAAAGTTAAGCTTTATGAAGAGTGTTTTAAAATACTTTACCATTCAATAGTTATAAGTAGTTAACTTACCGGCTCATCCTCGCACTTGATCTCTTGCTTCTTTTTCTTGATCTCGTCTTCTTTCGTGAGGTCCCCTAAATGCTCTTTGGCCACGAAACGGAATTGACGGCTTTTTCCCACCTGCTCCGAGTACTCCTTGACCAGGCCATCTTTATTCATTCGCTTGACGAAGTGGCGCATGGAATTGGCGTTGATACCCGTGTAGTGACACAATTCGGTGCTGTTGAGGCCACGTTTGCCAAATCTGGCCACGGCCCGGACTACCTCCTCCTCCGGAGGCATGTCTAAGTAGCAATGGCCCACATCCAGGAACTCAGACACCTGATTCTCCTCGCTTTCATCGTTCTTGTACAGGTCCTCTAGTTGCATATCTGGATTGCGGAGCTGTATAACAGTCACTTTGCGTGTGGTCGACTTGGACTGCTTTCCCGACTTGGTAAGCGCATTGATGGCTTTCTCCACTTGCTTGGTCTCGAAGAACTTGCGAAAGGCGTGTGTTACCAGCAGCTTCTTCGGCTTGAAATGGGTGGGACGCCCCAGCAGTTCTGTTAACTCGGAGACGGGTACTTGGCGGCTGCTGGTCCGCATTATCTCCAGGTACAGCTTCTCGAGGTTCTCCTGCGAGTGGTTTTTGTAGATTCGGTAAAAGCGCGGTAGCATTAGCAGTGATGAGACCAAAAAGCGACCCTTGTTGATTTCGTTATAGTTCTGGGCGATGACCAACTGAAGGTTGATCAGTTTGTTTCTGAAAATAAAGATTATGTTAAATGAAATCCCAAAAAATCATCATAAATTAAGATTAATTCATGTTTAAGGGGTATATGTACATTGTATTTAAATGGAGCCACAACTCACTTGATATAGAAAAGAATTCCAGTGTCTTTGCTGTAGTTCATTAGCGACCAAGGGCCTCCGGTGGTGTGTCCGCTGTAGCGCATCCGTCCGATAGCCTCCAGAAAGATAAAGTTAGGTAGCGGCAGACGCTGGGGCAACATTAGGTTATTAGGGGTCAGTGCCGTTTCTCGCAGTTCCTGGGAGGCCACTACGACAAGCCTGCCAGCCCACTGTTCAGTGGCTTGAGCAGCATTTAAGGCCTGCAGATCGCTCGCCGGGATTGGTTTGCGGGTCTTGAAGTCATTGCAGTTACCCATAACGCCGTCCTCTTGCACGTAGGCGGGCGGATACAACAGGAAGGGACACTGCTCAGGCACAACGGGCATGCCCAGCTTTTCGTCCATGTCGTTGAGGCGATCATAGTAGGGCATCAGGGGTCGCTCTGCCGGTAGCTCAAAGAACTCGATCTTGTGGGGCGGTGTGCAGAGCAGCAATGTCCACACCTGCTCCCGAATGCGATCGGGCAATGGGGAAGGAGCAAACTCCAGGCGCCTGGCCAGCAGGTCCCAGAGATCTGAAAACGTCTTAAGGATTACTTGGTTTCTTGCGCAAAAGACAGAGGAATCTCTTACAGGGCAATGTCACCCCCTCCAAGCCCTCCAGGGCCACTTCATCGTAGATGGCGTTGATCCAGGACCCTCCAGAGCTGGCGCTCATTTTTAATAACTTTATTTAAATCGAATAAAACTGATCAAAACATAAAGTTGCGTTTTGGATTAGTAGAGTTGTCAGCCTCTAAAAAGGCAAGCATTGCATCAAAAACAGCTGTTGCTCGATAGCAAATATGAGTTTTTTCTTTTATAAAGTAAATTCAAAAAAAGATTTTAACAAAAAAAAAGAGCTAGGTTATATTTACAGATATCTACAAAATAAACTGAAATAAACGCAAATTAGTAGATGTGATTTTTTGCACTGCTTGTCGTTAGAGTTGTCAACCACTGTTAGGTTATCGATAACTTCGTACATCAAGTGAGCCCACGCACAAAAACAGCTGTTGCTGAATCGTAAATAGACGCTGTTTTTACTTATACACCCTAAATTGCTTGTTAGTAGCTACATTTCGACCAAAAAATGTCGTCGGCAATATATTTGGAAAACTATCTGGATGGTGGGTTTATAGTTGCACCTGAGAATCACACCGGAAACCTTGTATATTTACCATTTTCAAACAGGCCTGGAGAGTCTGCCCACGGAGCTGGAGCGAAACTTTAAGTTGATGCGGAAACTGGACGATCGCGCCCAAACGGCAATGAAGAGCATTGATAGCCATGCAAAGGACTTCATGCGAAAGCTGGGCGAAAACGGGGCCATGAGCGACGAGGAGCGCAAGGAGCGCCAGGAGGACATAAAGGCGCTGTTTGGCAAAGCCAAGGAGTACAGTGACGACAAGGTCCAGCTGGCCATACAAACATACGAACTGGTGGACAAGCAGATACGCCGCCTGGACAACGACCTGGCCCGCTTCGAGGGCGAGATCCAGGAGAAGGCTTCCTCCACGCGTGCCAAATCCGAGGAAGTGGTGGCCAAGAGTAAGAGTTAATTTTGGTATCCCACTTTCCATTAGTTTAATCTCAATTTTGACTGCTTGCAGAAGGTCGCAAAAAGACTAAGGACAGCAAGACGGCGGGCAAAAAGAAGAAGTCCGCCTCATCGGACGAGGACACTGGGCGTGGCAGCAACCAGACCAACGCCAATTCCAGCCTCAATTCGAGCAGCAATGCAGGGCAAGGTACCAAAAAGAAAAAGTCCAAGGTAAATCAAGAAAAAGAAACTCGCAAGGGGGGCGCACAAAAGGTAAACCATCCACATTATCATATACATTGTTAGTTCTCTAGTTTGTTTTACCTATTTCCCAGTTTTGGTTGGCCCGATTTAGAAGAACTACTTCTTGTTTTGTAGCTTATCCCCGTAGATACCCTGCATTCTCCATTGTCTTTAGACTATCGTTTGCATTTAATCTTATGTATCTGCATGCCACTACCATCCGAAAACCTTTTTTCTTAATCTTCTGTTACTCCCCACCTAGAAAACCGTCGAGGTGGATGACTCAGAGAAGGAGTCGTGCCACACGGCCGCCACGCACCCCAGCGACGTTATGGACATGCCCGTCGACCCCAATGAGCCAACGTATTGTCTGTGCCACCAGGTGTCCTATGGTGAGATGATTGGCTGCGACAATCCCGACGTGAGTATCCGTTTTTCATTTGATTGGTGGTCCGTTCTAAAGGTTCTCCTCACCACTTTTTAGTGCCCCATCGAGTGGTTCCACTTTGCCTGCGTTGGCCTTACCACAAAGCCAAAGGGCAAATGGTTCTGTCCCAAGTGCACGCAGGACCGAAAGAAGAAATAGTTGCAATCTCTTATAAGAACGTAGAATACAGCTAGCCTAAGTACTAATTTAAATAAAGTTTTGGCATGTTACTGTCAATAATTTATATTTCGGATTTTCTTATTATTTTATTAAATACTTATTTCAGGGTTTTTAAAATTGTCCATACACTTATTTGATTTATAACGAAAATTAAACAAGCTTTTTGCGAATATCTCAAGAACGATTCAAGAAAAAATTTTTGTCGTACCCATCATGTTCAATTAGTAGTGTACTAGTGTAATTAAACGTCGCTTTAAGATTGACAACAATAAAGGATTGATCGTATACGTATCATATATTAAGGGGAGCTCCATCCGCGGAACTTTAAATTTTCTTAAATTATAAAATATAGTTTTTATTTTAGTCCCAGTTAAAAAATCTGTTTTTCAGCACTAGAAGAAATAAAAATCATTGATAACCGCCCAAGCAAATAAAATGTCCATTTTAGTAGCGATTACCGAAATACCGAATATATTTATAAGCCTTATCACCTTCGAACACCAAACCACGCGATCTATCTTAAGCCTAGTTAGCTAGTTTCATTGGATTTATTGGGTTTTTTTCTGTGGCTTTCGTTTCTTGGAATTATAAACAATTTCAAAGCGATTATAAGATTCCAATATAGATTACACACTTGTCTGTATATGCAAGTGTACATACGTTGTTAAGTGTATATGAACATTTACATATATAGTAAAGAAAAGTCAACTGTCTAATCATAGGAATCGTGAAAGAAACCAAATATAAATTATATCGCCATTGGACTGAGCCACAAAGGGTGCTTGGACACTCCCGGAAAGAAAGCTATTTGGTGCGGGTACTGTAACCCGTAACAGCATGCGCCATATCCTCGTGGTCGTGGTGTGCGTTCAGATTTTGCTATGCAGCTGGCTGCCCCTATTTCTTGGTCATGATCTTCAAATACTCGAGAGCGTTCTGGGCGGCATGCCGCTGGGCCTCCGCGGCCGACGGACCGCTTCCATGGCAAACGCCCACGGGCAGCGTGGAGAGCTGAACTAGACACTGGAACTGTCCAGTGAAGGTCTTCTCCTCGATGTCCACGTAGGTCACCTCGAACTGGTTCTCGGTCGCGATCTCGCCCAGCAGCTTGATGTAGTCGATCTTAGTGCTCTTTAGGCAAGTCTTCTGGAAACAAAACATAGGGAACCACATTAGCGGAGACTCAAAATACACTTGCAAAACGATATATTACACATAGGTTGCGTTTACTAAATACATGTAAGTAGATGTGTGCATGGATTCAGATAAATAAGAAGTCGAACTTCCAAACTTTAACACATCAATAAGAACACGATGCACTTGTAAACTTTTTTCTTAACGTTCCTCAAAGTATTTAATATTTGTGTTTTGATCTTAGAAAAAAATCAAAATTTAAAATTCGTTTCGTAGAACAAGAATTAAAAATGTAATGTTCGTATCAGGTAGAGTATAAGAAAATGGTGAAAAGTATATGGTAAGTTTTGTTAATTTACTTTCATTACATAGATTTAAAGGTATCGAAAAATTATTACATGTGAAATCATTTTAAATTAAAAGCTGTATACCATTTCCAATAACCTTTTCTGAAATTTGCCTTAGCCAAGAATTGGAGGAAGGTAAATACATTTAATTTAGATTATTCAATATATTGTAAGCTCACGATAGGGAAATGAAATTTAAGTTCCAGTGAATAAAAGAGTAATATTTGTGAAAAATCAACTTATGGAAGTTATGGAAGTTCGACAGGATTTTAATTTTATAAGCAAATAAGTGTGAGCCAAAACTCCAATTTATCCTGGATTTTGTTTATTTGCATTTGCAAATTATTTTGTGAGATTTAGTGACAGTGAAATTTACCTGTAACTTGAGCAGTTTTTTGCCCGTCGCATTTTTCAGGGTCTTATGGAACTGGGATACTTTGTTACTGTGCTGCGTGGTCAGTGTTGGCACAGAGATATCTTTCAATTCACCATAATAATTTTCGCTACTGCGGGGCTGTAAATAAGAGCGCAAAGTTGTTGGTTTCTTTTTCTCCGTTTTATTTTGCACACAATCGAATTCACCCACGCAAATGGTGAGTTGAAACATATCACATGGATGTGGATGGGTGCAGAGGATGATTTCAAAGGATGCTAGGATAGCCTTCAAAATCTAGGTATAAACTTATTTTCTTTTAACAAGCATACATTTTAGGCAAGACAAACAATAAAGACAGGAAAAGGCACCAAAATAAACCACAATCATAAAATGAACGAATAAAACCAGGTTTAGTATATTTGGCAACATTTGTATAATTGGTAAGGAATTACTAATAATAAAAACTAAACGAATTAATGCAAATTTGTACATTTCATCACGATTGTTTAAGTATTCGAATTCAAGGCAGTTACTAAAATATAAGGCGGATTAGACTTAATTACGATGGAATACCGTTACAAAACATGACAAAATCTGTTATTATTGACATTAATATGATATAATTTTCAAAATATTTTATTAGGACACAGGAATTGTTCCGATTTTAAATTTGTATTTCCTTTTAAGATTCTAGTTTGCTTAGAGGCAACTAAGCGATATTACACAAACGTTTACATCTTAAAAGATTTTTGGTTTAATAGATTATATATTTACGTGGAATCATACAAAAAATACAATTTTTAACCAAAAAGTATTTTTTAAGAGTCAAAAGGTAAAACAACTGACACAAAATACATAAAAAGAAGATGTTCTACAGAAATATTTAAGCTAAGACAGTCCGCAACCAATTAAATTGAATCAGTCTGTCATAAAAGCATGCACAAGATTGCGGGGTGAGTAATAGAAAAGTGTGGGAGCTTTGTGACCCCGGGTTAAATCTCAAGCAACTGAAAGTCTTCAGAGATGCGCACATATCGCTCGCTTAATGTGCAGCTGGTGTCTTGGATGGTACTCACTTCGCCCTCCAACTCGCCGCAGATGCTGTCGCTAATCTTGGCCGAATCAATGGGCGTCTCCTGCAGCCGCATCCACATGCGGTGGGCGGCCAAGCGCTTGGCTATCTTCTTGCTCTTGCCTTTGCCCATCTCGCGATAGTTGAGGATCGAGCAGGCGATCGTGAAGAGCCGCTCGTGGGGCAGCCCCACTTCCGTCTCCGTTTCGTACGACGGTGGTGGCCATCGCCGCTGCATGCACAACTCCTGCAGCCACCCAATAGGATTGCCCACGATCTTGTCGCCAACACTGCAATCACAGAGGGCAAAAAGATTAGATAGCGCCCTGAAAGAGTTCCTTGCGGGAAACTCACTCTCCGCCGCCCGTGGCATTGGCGTTGCCGTCACCGCCGCTCCCGGCGACCGTGAGACCAGTCACCGACGGACCGGCGGAGCTGCTGGGCGATTCCGGCAGCTGCGGTCCGATCAGCTTGTCAATGAGAGCACGGGCCGCCGCGTGCTTAGCCTCTTTCTTTGAGCGTCCCGCACCCATGGCCGTGAAGGGGGTGTCCTTGTCCTTGAAGGACACGCGAAACCGGAAGGTCGGCTCGTGAATGGCGCCCTCGATCTGGACGAGCTCATAGCCCGGCGTGATGCCGCGCCGGCTGAGCAGCTCCTGCAGAATGCTGACGGGCGTCTTCATGGCCAGTCCATTGGCGTCTGTCTCGCTGACGAACTTTAGTGCATCGTCGCTGGGCATTAGTCCCCCAATTAGGCCCACCCCGGTTGCTCCTGGAACTCCTGATCCAGCCGCCAAGGCGGGATCCCCCAGCTCCGACAGCTGCAGCTGACCAGGCTGCGAAGGCTGCACCACCTGGGCCACCTTCTCCTTCTTGATCTTCACAGGGCGCTGCCCCAGCGGAGCACTCTTGACCGGACTGCCGGGGCCGAGGGCGGGATTGCCATTGCCCAGGCCGCCCAGATTGTCGTACTGCCGCCGCGGAGCAAATCCCGTCTGGACGGGATTCTGGAGTGATTGGGGCGTCTGCTGGAGGTGCATGTTCTGCAGCTGCTGCGGCAGGCTATGCCCGTGGAAGTTCTCCTGGTCCATGGTGTTTCTGTTTCTTACGGTTTTCGGGAGGACTCGGTGTGTATCTATTTTGATTCTTGAGGTTAATATGTGGCCGAAAAATCGATACTAAACCGACGAGCAGCGGGATTTGACTAAAAGTGGATGATTCCCGCCGTCGCCGATTTTCAAGCACTACTCACGGTCGAATCGCGGTTTTTAACTGTTTTTTATTTAATAATAATTTATTAATGGTTAGTTAATAATTCATTCTTAAATAAAAAATACAGCAAAATCCAGACGCACACACGAATTGTATGTATGTATACTGATGAACGTGGTTGCCGGACTTTTGCCAGGTGGCCTACTCAATTGCTGTTATTCTCACCCCAAAAAATGAGATTTTGAAATATAGCAATTTTGATAATTGCCATTAAATTCGCAGAAAATCATTTATACTGAATTACGAGTGATAATGATATATTATAATGATATTCTCAAATCAAAAAACAGCAGTAATTGTTTATAGTAAAGCTACAAATTACATCTAAGCCCCATCAATAGACCACGTCATTAAAATGATACGATAAATAAATAAATAATAGCCCAATGCAGATATTCCAACGTTTAATTAGTTCAAAACAAATTATGTTCTAAATTAATTGCTATTCCATTTTCTCAGAGACCAAAAAAAATAGTTATTTCAAATAACTTTGTTAATACTTTTATTTTCAAAAGACTACTGTAATTTTTTGTGGTTCTAGGCAAAAGAGATTTTAAGTAATTCTACAGTTAATGGCGCTATTATTATTGACAAACAAAAATCGAAAATATTTCCTTTTTTATACAAAATGGCAAGTCAAATACAAAACAAATATCATAAAATATAATATATGTTTTCCGTAATTTTGAATTTTTGGGGCGCAATATTTAATCGATACATGCTATCGAATTATTTGCTGAGGCGAAACAAATACCCGCTTAATTTGAATTTGTTGTATAAGTATTTATTGCATTTTTTGCTCCATTACTGTTGTACATAATATTAATAGATATATTTTTAAACAACATTCAATCAAATCAAATGTGAATGTATGCGCGGAATTGTGTGGCTCGAAATGCTCCAAACGTGGGACTCCCGTAGCAGTAAACGATGGTTTTAAATGGTATTCTAGATCTGGATCCGATCTTAGCCCGCCCTAATCGTCGCTCAAAAAGTCGTCATCCAGGTTCACATCTGTCGTATCGATGTTGTCATCCAGCGTAATGCCATCGATTTCCAGGTCCAGGTCGTCGTCGTCATCCGCGGCAGATGTGGGTTCGGCCACATGGCTGGAGACGGCAGCTTGAGCGGGAACAAAAGTCGGCTTTGCCTTCTCCTCCAGCTGCTGGCCGGCGCCACCCTGCTCGGCGGCAAGCAGTTCCTGGAGGGGATTACGCTCGCTGTTTAGGGGCAGTTGTCCGGCCAGACGTGCTGGTGCCTTGCGAGCCCGCTCTTCTTGCAGATGTTGCTCCACGCGCAGTGCGTCGCCCAGGCCCGGGAAGAGATTGGTATATTGAGCCGGATCGGCCAGCGACTGGCCAGCTTTCTCATTGACCTTGCCCAACTCCTCGCGCCACAGCTCCACCACCCTTGACATCTGACTGGGCAGGTAGGTGCGGGCAAAGAACGCTGCCTCTGGCAGACGGTTTGTCTCGATGAGAATCTCCAGGCAGCGGTTCACATCCGACCGAAGGAAGGCTGCCAGGAAGGCAATGTTGTGGCGTCCCTGAGTGGAGCCCGCACCACCTACCTCTTCGAGCATCTGGGCATCGCCGGAGGCTGTTGAAAGTAGCAAGAGGCCGCTGAAGTCGTTTGCCTTCTGCATGCACTCCTTGACCAGAGCCATGTTGTTTTTGCGCGCCGCGACATCCGCCAGTTGGGACCACTTCTGGGAATTCTCCGACTCCCGGGCCAGCTTAAGAGCGATGTCCAACTCCCCAATTTGAAGGGCCAAGTCAAACTTGTGGTCGGCATCAGTGGAGACCTGGAGGGCCTGCGACTTAAAGCCCTGTTTTTCCAGGAAGTGTGCCACGCGAGTGCGGTGCTCCTTGGGAATGGTGGGCAGCACTATGTCCGCGCGCTCAAAGTCTCGTCGCATCACTGCCGTCTGGTACTCCAGCACAGACAGCTGCAGGCAGAAACTAATCACGTTCAGCTCCTTGTCGCCCAGGTAAAGGCGGTTGTCTTTGGGCACGTAACCCAGTAAATACATTGTGCGATCCAAGTGGGATACTGTCACGATCTCGCCGCCCACGTAGTAGTTAATGCGGTTCACCGAGTTGGTGTAGATGAAGCAGTCGCCTACCCACAAGCCTGTCTTCACGGATTCAGAGACCTCTCCTGCAAATAAAAACGATTATAACTATGTAATTAATTTGATTTGATTTTGTTAATTTGATATTCAAGATAATCGTTTTCATATGTTACAAACCCTCATTAATTGATTTGGGAAACGAGCAGCAGAAGTCAAATATTTGATTGAATTAACTTCGTAAGCCATTAAAAAAAAAAATCAACGCTAGTTATCTCTCATTGGAAAACTTGTTCAAGCTAACCATTTCATCAGACATATTCTCAAGATAAGATCTTAACTTGCTCCCATTTATGATTAATATCTATCTATATTTATGTTTCCCCTTCGTATTTAACTTACCTAAAACATTGAAGGCACTCTCCACACCGTCATCCTCGAGGCCCTCTTTTGATTCCACAGCGTTGGCAACCTGAGCGGTGTCCACACCCAAAACGAAGTAGGAGTCATCTGTGGCAAGGCAGACCAGGCTTCCGCTCTCATTCCAGAAAACATTCTTTGGCTGCACCTCTATGCGGCGCACTAGCTGCAGTGTCTCCCAGTCGTAGAAGGCCAATCCGGAGGATGTCTTAACGCCGAAGTAGTAGCCGCCGTAGATGCTCTCTGCCCCGTACTCGGGGGTGAAGCTTTTGCGCTCCTTGAAGTTTCGGAAAAGACGGACGGTTCCGTTGTTCTCCCTGATAGCATACTCGTTGCTCTCCAGTGCCCACACAAACTCCTGGGCGGAGCCAAAGGCCTTATTTCTCAGCGCCATCGATGTGTAGATAATGTACTCGCCATCGCCGCAAACGACAACGAACCGACCATTGGGATTGTGGGCAATGGTCTGTGGGTAGATCTCGCAGGCGCCCATATCCTTAACGGCCACAGGCAGACGTTCGCCATCCTTGATCTCAGTGCCATCGGCAATGGTCTTCAGGTTGACCTGCAAAGCGAATAACGTGGGTTAGATAAACATAAAGATTAAAGAAAAGTTATTCCCTGCTTACTAACCTGCTGCATTTCCGAGTGCTTAGCCCAAATGATCTTGCCTCCCACCACGTCCATGGACATTGCTGGCTCTTCGCGGCCCACTTTGATGATAATGGAACCCTCATCGTAACCCAGGGCCACGTTGTTGGTGCCCCGCATGCTGGAAATGGTCCAGACGCGTTCGAATCCGTAGTTGAGGCAGGTCTCCAGGCGATATGTGCCCGAGTGCCAAATCCGCACCGTGCCATCCTCGGAGCCAGTCAAGACGATGGGTAGTTCCGGGTGGAAACAGACAGCCGAGATGTTTTGAGCGTGTCCCTCCAAGGTCTGAACGCATGTCTTATTTTGGTAGTCCCAAATCTTCACCAGGCGATCATCCGCACCGGAAATCAGATAGGGTTTGTCGCCTCCGTGGTAATAGTCCACACAGTTGACGCCCTTCTCGTGGCCCTCCAGCGTAAAGTTTGCAAAGTTTGAGCCCAGTTGCCACACCTTCACCGTACGATCTAGCGAGGCGGAGGCGAAGGTGTTGTTGTCCTTTGGGTTGAAGACTATCTGCATAACGTAGTGGGTGTGGCCCTCGAAGACTCGCTGGCACGCCCACAGCTTCTCCCAGTTCCATAGCTTGATGAGCATGTCGTCTGTTGGGAAAATAGGTGGCAGGATTGAGACACAAAACTAAAGCATACTTCCCAGCGGATGTGTAAGGTAAACACACGGCTTGGATGACGAAATGGGGGTCAGAACCTCCCGGATTTTACTCACCACTGCTAGTCAGCACCAGCGGCTGTGTGGGATGCACGGCAATGCACCGCAAGTAGTCCGAGTGCGCCTCGTACGAGTGCACCTTCTCCAGCGTGTTGTAGTTGAACACCCGGATCTGCATGTCATCCGAGCCGGTGAGGATCCAGTTCTTGCGCGCCACGAAGCGGGCGGAGCGGACTGGGACATCGCAGACCTCGAAGTCCTTCACCATCTGCTGATTCTCGTAGTTCATGATGTGTACGTGGCCATTGTACAGGGCGCACAACATCCATGGCTCCGCCGGATGGAGATCAACGCACTTGACCCTATCCGATCGCGACGTCAGGCGGCGCTTGATGTCCAGTTTGAGAGGCATCTTCCACGGTTTGGGCAAACTACGGCTGTCTGCGAAAACACTAATTCAATTGCGGCGAGAATAGGAAAACTCTTTTGCTGCTGCCTCCGTTGCTCTTCTTCTTCCTCTTGTTAATGTGTCAGACCTAGGGTTGTCGCCTGCCACGTAAAAGCGCAGGCGATCGACCTATCGATAGTCGACAGCGGGTCTGTGCTGGCAGGTAAATAATATTAATAATTAATAATCCATATTTTACTAGTTTTTAATGAAGCAGAATAATATGATCGTATTAAAGACATTCGTTCCAAACCGAAAAATTCTAATTATTTACTTCACAGAATACTTATTTTCTTTCGCTTTCAATTAAATTGTAATAGAATTTTATAATCAGCATTATTTAAAATTTTTGGGTCAGAAAAAAGGCTGACTTTTAACATAATAGTTTTTGATTTACCTTTTTTTTTGTTTAAACAGTTATTTTTGTATTTATTTAGAATAAATTAATTAAGTGAAATACTTAACTACTTTTTATCTTAAATAGAGACACATATCAGCACCAACTGCCGATGAGACAGGTGTTTTCCCCATAGCCGGCACTTTGATTCACGCTCTTTGTACCATCTCCTCCAAGCCAGCTATCGATAAGTTTTTCGACTAGTCCACGTCTTCTACCTGCGGTTTTCGTCTAAAAATTTAAATGCTGCATTAATACTGTATTAAAAATGCAATTAACCAGTGCACACGACACAGTTTAACCACAGACAAGCCATTTCATTGCCATCAAGTGCAAAATTCGAGCAGATCAATGTGGATCACGGGCCAGTTTGTTTTCCTTCTGCTGGTGGCACTTGTTGCCGCTAAAACAAAAACTTCGGCGGTGCAGGATGACATCGTGGAGTACAAGGACTTCAAAAAGCTGCTGCGAACCAAGAACAATGTCCTTACGCTCTATGTGGCCAGTGCCAAGGCTGCCGGCGCCGAGTTAAAAGTGTTCCGCGAGGCTGCGGAGGCGATACGGGGAACCGGGACGATGCTGCTCCTGGATTGCGGCCAGCAGGATCGCAAAAAGCTGTGTAAAAAGCTTAAAGTCTCACCGGAACCTTACGCCATTAAGCACTACAAGGATGGCGATTTTCACAAGGACTACGACCGGCAACTAAGTGTCAGCTCCATAGTCACTTTTATGCGCGATCCTTCCGGCGATCTACCATGGGAGGAGGATCCCGCCGGCGAGGATGTCCTACACTTTAGTGACGCCGCCTCATTTACCAAACACCTGCGCAAGGACATTCGGCCCATGCTGGTCATGTTCCATGTGCCGTGGTGCGGGTTCTGCAAGAAAATGAAGCCTGACTACGGCAAGGCGGCCACGGAGCTGAAGACCAAGGGTGGCTATCTCCTAGCGGCGATGAATGTAGAGCGGCAAGAGAACGCCCCCATACGAAAAATGTTCAACATAACTGGTAAGTCAATATTAATAATTTAACCACATTCGTATTTAACGAAACTTCTTAACAGGCTTCCCCACCATGATCTACTTCGAAAATGGAAAGCTGCGCTTCACCTACGAGGGAGAGAACAATAAGGAAGCCCTGGTATCCTTCATGCTCAACCCTAATGCTAAGCCCACGCCGAAGCCCAAGGAGCCCGAATGGTCGGCGGACACCAACTCGGAGATTGTCCACCTCACCTCGCAGGGCTTTGAGCCAGCTCTCAAGGACGAGAAGGCCGCTCTGGTCATGTTCTATGCGCCCTGGTGCGGGCACTGTAAGCGCATGAAGCCCGAATATGAAAAGGCTGCTTTGGAGATGAAGCAGAAAAAGATTCCCGGCCTTTTGGCCGCTCTGGATGCCACTAAGGAGCCGTCTATCGCCGAGAAATACAAAGTCAAGGGTTATCCAACGGTTAAATTCTTTACGAACGGAGTCTTTAAGTTCGAAGTTAATGTGCGCGAGGCTTCGAAAATTGTCGAATTTATGCGAGATCCCAAAGAGCCACCACCACCACCACCGCCGGAGAAAAGCTGGGAGGAAGAGGAGGACAGCAAGGAGGTGCTCTTTTTAGATGATGACACTTTCACTTCCACGCTGAAGCGGAAGAAACACGCACTGGTCATGTTTTATGCTCCATGTAAGTTTACAATTAGGTTTTCATAAGAACTCTACTAACCATTCTATCTTTTAGGGTGTGGACACTGTAAACACACTAAGCCAGAGTTCACAGCGGCTGCCACGGCTCTGCAAGACGATCCTCGTGTAGCGTTTGTGGCCATCGACTGTACAAAGCTTGCCGCGCTATGCGCAAAGTACAGTGTCCGCGGTTATCCCACCATCCTGTACTTCTCATACCTTAAAACCAAACAGGACTACAACGGCGGACGCACCAGCAAAGACTTCATCGCCTATATGAACAACCCGCTAAACTCAGCGGACCGCACAGAGCTGTGATACGCTGCTGCCAAGTGTAATGATGGTTCTTTCCCACTACTTTGCAATCTCAATTCTTGTATTACCCCAACTGTATTCGTTTCGTTATCAATCAGCCTTAAAAGTCGAATATTTTATAAAGTGTATCTGCATATTCTAACTAAATAGCTTACTAATAAATTATGTTAAAACTTGTAGAATAATTTCGATTACCATAATGCTTTTACACGAATAATAAAATACTATTGAAATTATGTAAAAATAAATACTTTAACATCTTAGATTACTTCAGTTCCCTAATTAATTGAAATATTTATGGTAAATCTATAAGTAAAGCAGATTTGAAAAAAGTTGATAAGAGCAGCAACAATCTCATGCGAGGAATTTTAAAAGTAATGAACGATAATGGCGGACCAGCATTTTTGATAAGCACAAGTAATGTACAACAAATAACCTATTAATTTGTTATGAAAAAACATATGGGCGAGCTCTTCAATCCGATATAGATAATGTTATGCAAGGCTGGAAATTGTTCGGTAAAATTTCAATAGGGAGGCAAGAGATTCCATCATAACAGTCGTAAAGCCAGAGTAGGTGTCTATTTGCATTTCTTTTATTGTACAAGTAATTTCAATTTCTAATCTTAAAATATTTTGGTTTAGCTAATATAGATATATATTTATATTTAAAGTTTCTCACCAATGTGGCACACTTTCTAAGAGCTGAAAATGCCAAAAGTTATTGCACACTTGCTCTGGGGTGTTCTGTGGTTTCGATTCATCTCGCCTGAATTCATTTCAAAGTTGAAGGAAGGGATGAATGAAAGATGAAACTGGGTATATGGGTGGTTTGATTTCTGGCTCTGCGGGATAGGGAAGTCGGATATGAGCGCGAAGGACCAAGGATATTAATGTTCGGGACCTAGCGCTCTGCATCGGGCTTACTGTTCGCCTTTCGCCGGCTTAAACTGCCTAGCCAACTGCCGCGCTGCTCGTTGGCCGTGTATTCGTCGTTAATAAGCGAGAAACCATGGAACATGTCCTTCATTTTAATGGCCCGCGAACAGGCATAGTTCTTGGTGGCCACGTACATCTTTGTGAGGAACTCGGGCATCTGTTTTTGCGTCACCCAAGACTTGATATTTTGGGGTATGGGTATGCCCGGGTCGTCATAGTAAGTGAGCACAAAGTGTAGTCCCGGCTCATGGAAGCCACGGAAGGGCTTGATAACCATCAGGCTCCAGTAGTCTGTGACACGCACTTTTCCAGGCAACTTCGGATAGGTGTTGTGCTTGGCTCCACGATTGCAGATGAAAATCAGCTTCTTGTTTTCGTCCTTGATGTAGCGACGGCAGTAGACATAGTCGCGGTTGGCAAACAGCCGTGGCCACTGCATCTCCCAGTATATTAGATGCGAGTTGCTATTCGGCACGGGATCCTCACTGATGAGCTCCAGTCTTAGGGCTGTGTCGTCCCACTGGCGGCGGTAGTCCAGATCGGTTTGGACGTGGAGGAAATCGTCGGCTGTGATGTCGTCGAAACGGGCATATACCTGGGATGAAAATAAGATGATTTAGATTGTTTATACAATTTAAAGGCGAAAATCTTTCACCTTGTATGAGTACAAGGAGGAGCGTTCCTCGCGCCGCCATATGCTAAACTCGTTCTTGCTGAAGTACGGCTCCCATTTGCGCTCGTCTTGGGCCTGAATGCGAACAGTGCCAGCGGGGGTATTGCGGACGTCCAGATCTAATGGCCGCTGGCAGTTGGCAATGGAGGACTCCGCGTCCGCCTCCTTGCTGGTCGATGGCTTACTTTGGCCCTTCCTGCAGCGCTGGTTGCCCAGCTGACAGTAGCAGTACTTCATCTTCTTGGCCTGACAGCGCTCGCAGAGCTGATTGTGAGGCAGGGCATTGATGAATTCGATGTCCCGACTGCACAGGTCGAAGTTCGAGATAGCCAGCCGCTCCTTGCTCCAGTCGAAGCCATCGGTTCCCAGCCGCTTGATGTTAAGTCCCACCAGACCCACCGCACTCATCACCATTCCCCTGAGCGGGGGCTGCAGCTCCCGACGGTAGTAGGCGCGCCACAGCTGCTTCAATCCCTGGGTTCCATAAACCGACTGGTAGAAACACAGGAGCTGCTGAATACGCCGCGAACGCTGGGCGAAGATCGACTCGCATTGGTAACTCCAGGCGCGCAGCGTCTCCCGAGACTGGTTCTTGATGGCCAGCACAAATCGATTGAGCAGCATGCCGGCTAATTCAATTTGGCTGTCGGCCGCCCGCTTGCATAACAGCCCACTCAAAGTGCGGCGACTTAGTTAATGTCTCCTACGCTATTACTACTTGGCACATTTGTCGTCTCGAAACTTGGGGAATTTAGTACTTGTGGCCAGGACACAATCGATCGGTTTGACGAATGTCTACTGCGCGAGAGAGCTGGGTTATGTTCTGGCCGGGCTTATCATGTTTGACCGATGGGAAAAAACGTGCAACTTGCAATTTGTCTGCTGCTATGTATGTTATTTCTGCGCGCTCTGCTTGTCACGCTGTTGTTGTTGCTGTTGTGTCGTTACAGGCAACAGTGTTGGACAATTTAAAAGGGCCTGCTGAGAGTTGACAGCTGCGATCAGTGATCAGACGTTGTTTTTAAAAGATATAAATTAAAAAATAGATATAAGTTTAGTGTTGACAGCTTATTGTTAAATTCTAGGGTGCTGCAAAAATCTCTTCTAGCCTTATTTCAATCAAAATTTTATGGGTCTTCGGATTTAATTTGGTTGGAATTTATTTACTTAACTATGAAAATGTAAGATTAACTCATTATCTTTCAAAACTAAAATAGTTAGGATAACGTAATTGAAAAATTACTGCAATTATATGCAAGAAAAAAAAACAGGTTGTCTCATAAAAATGAAATGTTTATCCTGGGTGCTGAGATATTTAGGAATTGTTTATTTTGGTCGTTTAGGAATATCGAATATCAGTCCCTTTTCTGAGCTTCAGCCCACTGCCCTTGCTGTTCGCCGTTAGCCAACACTTCACTTAAGAAACTCGTGGTTGCACCGCATTGTTTTTGTTGCGCAGATTTTCGATTCGATTTGATGTGTGAAATTGCCTTTGAACCTGGAAGAACCATAACAGAACCCAGGCAGGATGTCCATGCGGCGCCAGCGCATCAAGGCTCCGGCCAACCTGTCACTCATCAAGCGCAAGCCGCGAAAGGAGGAGCTGCCCGCGCCGAAGAAGGAGCCGGAGGAGGAGGCGGTGACAGGGGGAGTGGCTGAGTCCCCGACCGCTGCAACGACCCCTGCGGAATCCGAACTCGAAGCTGATGCAATCGCCTTCAAAATGCCCGCCAGTTCGGCTGGCCAACTGGAGGAGGCTTTCCACTCGGACCTGGAGGACAATGTCATTCAGATGGACTTGCAAAAGACCGTCAGTGGGTTTCCCATGTCTCCCAGCAAGGCTCAGGCTCGCCAGCGCGTCCGTCCCACTCCGGTTTTTGGCCAGAGGCGCAACAGTTTCGTGGGCTCTCCAATGGCCAGTGACTACGAGGGCGACTACCAATCGCCGGCCACACCCACTCGGCGGGAGCGTTACCTCAGTGGCTCGTCGACGGGTACACCCCAGCAGCAACAGGTGGCTTCGCCCATGCCTCAATCGCCCTACAAATACCTCCCGCCAGTGAGTCCCGGCATGGGACGCATTCGCACCGAGTCCACCTGTTCCACCTATTCCGAAGGTGGCGGCAAGCAGCGGAAGGATGAGAAGTCCCAAAGCCAAGGTGGACAGCGGTTGAATGCCCGGCGGGACTTCGAGACGCGCTTCAACAAGGGTGTGCCCGACAAGTCGACGTTCAAGATGATGGACATGATCTACTATAATCCAGAGAACAATCCCATGGTGCCCAAGCAGTCGGTGACGACCATTAAGGATGAGTCTAATAGTGAGGATGCCAAGCCCTCGTCAGATCAGCTGCTAGAAGCCAAGGGAGAGGGCACATCCGCCATGCTAGTCCCTCAGCTAAAGCTCGATGCCAATGGCGAGATGATCATTGATGAGAAAACCCTGGAGATCGAAACCACGGCCGAGGTGGAGGCCCGCAAGGTTCTGGCCAACTCATCTCTTATCCTGATGGACGAGACTACCGGTGGGCATTTTATATCACATAAAAAGGTTTAAGTTTTAATCTCTTTGTACCCTTTAATCAGGTGACAACGGATTCTACAAGCGCCATAAGCGTACGCCTTATTGGACTTCCGATGAGACAGTCCGTTTCTATCGCAGCCTGCAGATCATTGGTACTGACTTCTCGCTGATGTGCCAAATGTTTCCCACGCGCTCTCGTCGGGATCTGAAGCTCAAGTACAAAAAGGAGGAACGCACCAATGGGCAGCTGATCAACAAGGCGCTGCTCTATCCCAAAGCCTTCAACATTCAGGAGCTAAAGGACCAACTGGCTGAAGAGGATCGGGAGCGGGAGGAGAATGATCGCCAGTGGAGAGAAATTGCGCGCGCTATGCCGGGGAACCCTAAAAAGGTTCGATAAAAAAACCAGCATGAATAATAATTTGTTTAAACCTTTTAAATTTGTTATGCGTATCTTTTTAGCGTGCACGATTACAACAGCAAAGCAAGGCGTCACGTACACTGAACGATGGTGATTTAGTTTACGAAAACGAGCATGTGACAAATAAGAAGCTTGGCAAGCAGGCTTGGGCCAAAAGACGCAAAGATTTGGAAGCCGACGAGAACGACGGAAGTGCACCCGCCAAGCGAAAGCCCAAGGCTAGACGACGTCCTCCCAAAGTTCCAGTCCCAGCCGCAGCAGAGGGTCAGGCGGATCTGGCACCCATTAAGCAAGAGAAAGCGATAAAAACCGAACAAACAGGAACAAATGTACCTTCCGGAGGAGAACTGCAGGCTGAGCTAAATGGACTTCTGATGGATGATCCAAAGGAATATGAAGTAGATGTAAGCAAGCCCCGTGATAAAACCATCATCAATATGGATGACGGTACCCTAAGCTATGTGAGCGACGTGGAAACCGCAACTGAGGCGCCAAATCGACAGTCGGAAACATATTTCATTAACTTCATTGAAGAAGAGCAAGGCCATGAAGTTATAACGCCGGATGACCCCATTCCGCCCACCACTGCCGAGCCGGATATCGAACAAATCCTCGCCGAACTGGCGGAGGGATCCTTGGCCCTCGTCTCGTCTTTGGATCCAGAGCACGAAGACCGGGTGCTCAACGAAATCTACATGCTAGACAAAAAGACGGGCGAATTGTGCGAAACACCGCTGAACATACCAGAGCATATTGTTCAATGCATATTGAATGTTATGCAGCTAGAGGACTAACAACATTTTATATTACTACTTTAAGAGTATTTGTTAAACATTATAATTTATTAAAGCATTTCGATAGAAGCATTTAATTAAGTAGCTTTATTTGTTCGCATTGATTTATTTTGGATCTAAAGTGAATTAAAAAAAGGATACCATTCTTAGGACTTCTGTATTTATGGTAAGCTACAAGTAAATATGTTTTCATAAAGACAAAAAAACGGGCCAGAGATTACAAAAAAAAATTGTAATTATATACATATACAAATTTTTTTTCTATAAAATAAAATAAAATTTGGTAAAGTTATGGACTCCGGAAGATCAGTTCTGGGTCACCTCATAACAACACATCGGAAACTTGAAAATAAATGACATGAAAAAGGGTCAAAAATTGGACCAACGTTAAAATGAAAAATTTGAATGCAGATTTTTTGAGAATCAAATTACGAGTCTTAAGAGATATGCATCTTTGGAATCGGAGAATATTTGATAACGTTATGGATTTCGGAAGTCCAGTTATGGGCCACCTTTTAAAAACATATCGGAGACTTGAGAATAAATGACATGAAAATGGGTCAAAAATTGGACCAACGTTAAAATGAAAAATTTGAATGCAGATTTTTTGAGAATCAAATTACGAGTCTTAAGAGATATGCCACTTTGGAATCGGAGAATATTTGATAAAGTTATGGACTTCGGAAGTCCAGTTGTGGGCCACCTCATAACAACACATCGGAAACTTGAAAATAAATGACATGAAAATGGGTCAAAAATTGGACCAACCTCAAAATGAACAAGAAAGGAAAGCTAACTTCGGGCGGAGCCGAAGTTGATATACCCTTGCAGAATACTCTGTAAATTATATTTTCAAAAATTATTCATATGATGCATTCTTAATACTCATAAAAAATCCCAACTTCGTAACTTTAAAAACACCAAAGTTATGGCATTTCCGATCAATCAGTTATATGGCAGCTATAGGATATAGTCGGCCGATCCTTATAAAATTTGGTACGTCAAATTGATTGGCCAAATACAAAACACATAGAAAATCCCAACTTCCTAACTTTACAAACACCAAAGTTGTGGCATTTCCGATCGTTCAGTTATATGGCAGCTATACTATATAGTCGGCCGATCCTTATAAAATTTGGTACGTCAAATTGATTGGCCAAATGTAAAACCCATAGAAAATCCCAACTTCCTAACTTTAAAAACACCAAAGTTATGGCATTTCCGATCGTTCAGTTATATGGCAGCTATAGGATATAGTCGGCCGATCCCGGCCGTTCCGACTTATATACTGCGTGCAAAGGAAAGAAGGGTGTGTGCAAAGTTTCAATTCGATAGCTTTAAAACTGAGAGACTAGTTTGCGTAGAAACAGACAGACGGACAGACGGACAGACAGACGGACAGACGGACATGGCTATATCAACTCAGGAGGTGATCCTGATCAAGAATATATATACTTTATATGGTCGGAGATGTCTCCTTCACTGCGTGGCACACTTTTGACCAAAATTATAATACCCTCTGCAAGGGTATAAAAATTTGAATGCAGATTTTTTGAGAATCAAATTACGAGTCTTAAGAGATATGCCACTTTGAAATCGGAGAATATTTGATAAAGTTATGGACTTCGGAAGTCCAGTTGTGGGCCACCTTTTAACAACATATCTGAAACTTGAAAATAAATGACATGAAAATGGGTCAAAAATTGGACCAACGTTAAATGAAAAATTTGAATGCAGATTTTTTGAGAATCAAATTACGAGTCTTAAGAGATATGCCACTTTGAAATCGGAGAATATTTGATAAAGTTATGGATTTCGGAAGTCCAGTTATGGGACACCTTTTAACAACATATCGGAAACTTGAAAATAAATGACATGAAAATGGGTCAAAAATTGGACCAACCTTAAAATGAAAAATTTGAATGCAGATATTTTGAGAATCAAATTACGAGTCTTAAGAGATATGCCACTTTGGAATCGGAGAATATTTGATAAAGTTATGGACTTCGGAAGTCCAGTTGTGGGCCACCTTTTAACAACATATCGGAAACTTGAAAATAAATGACATGAAAATGTGTCAAAAATTGAACCAACGTTAAAATGAAAAATTTGAATGCAGATTTTTTGAGAATCAAATTACGAGTCTTAAGAGATATGCCACTTTGAAATCGGAGAATATTTGATAAAGTTATGGACTTCGGAAGTCCAGTTATGGGCCACCTTTTAACAACATATCGGAAACTTGTAAATAAATGACATGAAAATGGGTCAAAAATTGGACCCACGTTAAAATGAAAAATTTGAATGCAGATTTTTTGAGAATCAAATTACGAATCTTAAGAGATATGCCACTTTGGAATCGGAGAATATTTGATAAAGTTATGGACTTCGAAAGTCCAGTTGTGGGCCACCTTTTAACAACACTTTGGACACTTGAAATTAAATGACATGAAAAAGGATCAAAAATTGGACCAACGTTAAAATGAAAAATTTGAATGCAGATTTTTTGAGAATCAAATTACGAGTCTTAAGAGATATGCATCTTTGGAATCGGAGAATATTTGATAACGTTATGGATTTCGGAAGTCCAGTTATGGGCCACCTTTTAAAAACATATCGGAGACTTGAGAATAAATGACATGAAAATGGGTCAAAAATTGGACCAACGTTAAAATGAAAAATTTGAATGCAGATTTTTTGAGAATCAAATTACGAGTCTTAAGAGATATGCCACTTTGGAATCGGAGAATATTTGATAAAGTTATGGACTTCGGAAGTCCAGTTGTGGGCCACCTCATAACAACACATCGGAAACTTGAAAATAAATGACATGAAAATGGGTCAAAAATTGGACCAACCTCAAAATGAACAAGAAAGGAAAGCTAACTTCGGGCGGAGCCGAAGTTGATATACCCTTGCAGAATACTCTGTAAATTATATTTTCAAAAATTATTCATATGATGCATTCTTAATACTCATAAAAAATCCCAACTTCGTAACTTTAAAAACACCAAAGTTATGGCATTTCCGATCAATCAGTTATATGGCAGCTATAGGATATAGTCGGCCGATCCTTATAAAATTTGGTACGTCAAATTGATTGGCCAAATACAAAACACATAGAAAATCCCAACTTCCTAACTTTACAAACACCAAAGTTGTGGCATTTCCGATCGTTCAGTTATATGGCAGCTATACTATATAGTCGGCCGATCCATATAAAATTTGGTACGTCAAATTGATTGGCCAAATGTAAAACCCATAGAAAATCCCAACTTCCTAACTTTAAAAACACCAAAGTTATGGCATTTCCGATCGTTCAGTTATATGGCAGCTATAGGATATAGTCGGCCGATCCCGGCCGTTCCGACTTATATACTGCGTGCAAAGGAAAGAAGGGTGTGTGCAAAGTTTCAATTCGATAGCTTTAAAACTGAGAGACTAGTTTGCGTAGAAACAGACAGACGGACAGACGGACAGACAGACGGACAGACGGACATGGCTATATCAACTCAGGAGGTGATCCTGATCAAGAATATATATACTTTATATGGTCGGAGATGTCTCCTTCACTGCGTTGCACACTTTTGACCAAAATTATAATACCCTCTGCAAGGGTATAAAAATTTGAATGCAGATTTTTTGAGAATCAAATTACGAGTCTTAAGAGATATGCCACTTTGAAATCGGAGAATATTTGATAAAGTTATGGACTTCGGAAGTCCAGTTGTGGGCCACCTTTTAACAACATATCTGAAACTTGAAAATAAATGACATGAAAATGGGTCAAAAATTGGACCAACGTTAAATGAAAAATTTGAATGCAGATTTTTTGAGAATCAAATTACGAGTCTTAAGAGATATGCCACTTTGAAATCGGAGAATATTTGATAAAGTTATGGATTTCGGAAGTCCAGTTATGGGACACCTTTTAACAACATATCGGAAACTTGAAAATAAATGACATGAAAATGGGTCAAAAATTGGACCAACCTTAAAATGAAAAATTTGAATGCAGATATTTTGAGAATCAAATTACGAGTCTTAAGAGATATGCCACTTTGGAATCGGAGAATATTTGATAAAGTTATGGACTTCGGAAGTCCAGTTGTGGGCCACCTTTTAACAACATATCGGAAACTTGAAAATAAATGACATGAAAATGTGTCAAAAATTGAACCAACGTTAAAATGAAAAATTTGAATGCAGATTTTTTGAGAATCAAATTACGAGTCTTAAGAGATATGCCACTTTGAAATCGGAGAATATTTGATAAAGTTATGGACTTCGGAAGTCCAGTTATGGGCCACCTTTTAACAACATATCGGAAACTTGTAAATAAATGACATGAAAATGGGTCAAAAATTGGACCCACGTTAAAATGAAAAATTTGAATGCAGATTTTTTGAGAATCAAATTACGAATCTTAAGAGATATGCCACTTTGGAATCGGAGAATATTTGATAAAGTTATGGACTTCGAAAGTCCAGTTGTGGGCCACCTTTTAACAACACTTTGGACACTTGAAATTAAATGACATGAAAAAGGGTCAAAAATTGGACCAACGTTAAAATGAAAAATTTGAATGCAGATTTTTTGAGAATCAAATTACGAGTCTTAAGAGATATGCCACTTTGGAATCTGAGAATATTTGATAAAGTTATGGACTTCGGAAGTCCAGTTGTGGGCCACCTTTTAACAACATATCGGAAACTTGAAAATAAATGACATGAAAATGGGTCAAAAATTGGACCCACGTTAAAATGAAAAATTTGAATGCAGATTTTTTGAGAATCAAATTACGAGTCTTAAGAGATATGCCACTTTGGAATCGGAGAATATTTGATAAAGTTATGGACTTCGAAAGTCCAGTTGTGGGCCACCTTTTAACAACACTTTGGACACTTGAAATTAAATGACATGAAAAAGGGTCAAAAATTGGACCAACGTTAAAATGAAAAATTTGAATGCAGATTTTTTGAGAATCAAATTACGAGTCTTAAGAGATATGCCACTTTGGAATCGGAGAATATTTGATAAAGTTATGGACTTCGGAAGTCCAGTTGTGGGCCACCTTTTAACAACATATCGGAAACTTGAAAATAAATGACATGAAAATGGGTCAAAAATTGGACCCACGTTAAAATGAAAAATTTGAATGCAGATTTTTTGAGAATCAAATTACGAGTCTTAAGAGATATGCCACTTTGAAATCGGAGAATATTTGATAAAGTTATGGACTTCGGAAGTCCAGTTATGGGCCACCTTTTAACAACATATCGGAAACTTGTAAGTAAATGACATGAAAATGGGTCAAAAATTGGACCCACGTTAAAATGAAAAATTTGAATGCAGATTTTTTGAGAATCAAATTACGAGTCTTAAGAGATATGCCACTTTGGAATCGGAGAATATTTGATAAAGTTATGGACTTCGAAAGTCCAGTTGTGGGCCACCTTTTAACAACATATCGGAAACTTGAAAATAAATGACATGAATGGGTCAAAAATTGGACCAACGTTAAAATGAAAAATTTGAATGCAGATTTTTTGAGAATCAAATTACGAGTCTTCAGAGGTATGCCACTTTGGAATCGGATACAATTTGTTTACCTTTTAACAACACATCGGAAACTTGCAAATAAAAGACAAGCACATTTAAATAATTGAATATTTAAATAATTTCTTAAATTCTACTAAGGTGGCGCCAGAGTTGCCTTATTTCTGAAATTTTTTTTCGCTTTCCAATACTTTTGACCAATTAGGCGATTTAGAGCACTTAGCCTATGACAGCTGTTGTTGCTGCCGAGGCTGTAATAGTAATTTAATATAATATAACGAATTAAGGCGCATACGATGGCCCAAGTTCCCTTGGCAATTGTCTCGCACAAGCGCCAGGTGTGCAGCCTGTACAAGCGGGCGCTGCGCAACCTGGAAGCCTGGTACGACCGACGGTGAGTGCAGTTTCCGAAGAGTACCCGAAGATTATATAATGAGCAAGTGCATCTTGGTTGTTTTCAATCGCGCCAGTCATGACTATCGCTACCGCGCTGTGCAGCTACGTGCCCGCTTCGACGAGAACGCTCGGAAGGATTTGGGCGAGGGCATCCGCCTCCTGGCAAGCGGACAGAAGGAGCTCTTCGAGACGAAGCATTTCCAGCCCCGAAACTGTAAACAAATGTCTTTTAATCTTATACCCACCCAGCTAACGTGTTATCATTGTAGTCGCCAACAGTGCCGGTGGCTGCGCCTTCGAACGAGAGGTGATCCCGCCGGACTGGTTGCTTGACTACTGGCATCCCCTAGAGAAGGCCCAGTTCCCTGAGTACTTCGCAAAGCGGGAGCTGCGCAAGAAAGAGTTTGTCACCTGGTGGGAGAAGCAGTACGGCAAGCCGGATCCCCAGGACCTGGGACACCACTAATCTAAGAGTACAGTAGTCAAATCACATGCTATCTTTGTTTTTAAAAGTAAATCTATTGGAGCTCTGAGTATGTGCTATAATATGTGTCTGGTACCAGGATTCAGTCAAACTTCCTAGAAGAAATCAGTTTGTAAAATAGATTTTTCGTTGTTGGAATATTATTTGACCAACTGAAGTTAAATCCAGCAAAGTGTTTTACAAACTTGAACTCGTGCAATTATACTTAAGTACTATCTTGAATTCGTGATCTGAGCCGATAAATGTGGTTGGCAACTACCCGGATTAGACAATCATTTGTTTTTGTATAAATTTAGAAGTATATTCCCTAAATGAAACATCAAGTTATTGGCAATTTGGTTACAATTAAAATTGTTTCTAGTTTCTTTTCCTAGGTAAGTACAAAATATTCTTTTGTTATCGCCATAAAGATGAAAGATGGCATTAAAAAAAACGCCTGGTTACAAATTGTACTGCTAGATTTCTTTTTTCAGTAAGCAAAGGCAACAAAACTTTGAAAGCGAATTCTCGATGCGACTTCAGGTATTGGAAGTTTGACTGCAACTCCTTTGTACTAAGTGTATTTTTAATTAAATATATGTTTATGAATGACGGGTAGCTCGTGTTGGCGAAGCTCTGGGGCGCGTGTTCTGTGTGGGATGTCCTTCGTGGGGCTGGAGGCTGTTTGGTCCTGCCGCTCAGTTCAGCTCGTTGGGGTCCAATCGCGGGCGCTTTTTGCTGCTGGAGCTGTTGCCGTTGGGCGTGGAGCTGTTTCCGTTGCCATTTCCGGAATCGCCACCGTGTTCCCGCTTCCGCTGGAGCGTCTTCTTGTCCCACTGTTGGGTGAGGTAGCGCAGAAGAACGCAGCGCTTGTCCATCACGATCAGCTGCTCGGAATGCTCATCCTCGGTTGGTAGGTAGACGGAGGCTCGCTTCTGCGACGTCCGAATTCCATGTTCGTTGCTCAAGTGGGTGAAATTGCTCGAATCATGAATTGGCAGGCCCTTAATGAAATCTCTCACGGACATCCTGCTGCCAAGTTGCTGCGGAATACGGAAAAACGACTAAAAAACTAGCCAATACCTTGCAAAAAATGCACTTTCAAAAGCCTTACCGTAAGTGGTGCTGAATTAATAGTTTTTTTCTGCAAATGTCTTCTTTTATTAGACTTCTTTTTAAAATTTATGTGTGCTCTTTCGTTGGATCTTTTGTTGTTGCTGGTGGTGGAATTGGAATGTGACTTTCAGTGTTGCGAAACGCACGATTGCTGCTCAAGGCTTTTTAGCACTGAAACGGTGGGGCCAGACTGGGAGATTTTAAAATTAAGAATTTAAAAAATGACAGTCATAGCTATGTAAATTAATCTATATAAAAAGAGGTATTTCAAAATTTACTGCACTTTAGTAATTTTAGTTTACAAATTACAAAAAGTTTAAAGTTTCCTGCATGTTTAGTTTTTGTTTTGGCAAGTCCTAGAGTTCTTACAGCTTAAATCTTTTAAAAAGTATGGTTTTTGTGCTATTAAATACATTCTTGGAACTATTTTATTTTTCAAGACTTAATAGAATTTAAACACTGATAAGAGATGCATAAAGGAGTTGACAAAAAATTGTGGCTTCAAGGGACGTGTTCACAAAATATGTTTGTTAAAATTTCCTTCAAAATATTGATTTGGCAATTCTGGCCAAAAATAATAATATAAAAACTGTCAGTTGAACAATTTTCCTATAATGAATACATACCGATTTCCTTGTAGCCTTGAATATTTTAGAACATATTAAGATATTTATAACGTATTTTTGGATAAACTGGCTTATAACCCTTCCTATAGATTATCCATTTTATTAGTTTGTAGAAAAGTACATAATTTTTGAGTGAGTTTCTTAGCTGCGGTTATGACGGTTTCCGTCTCCGCGACGCACCACATCCTTGTACTCGTCCATGCGTCTCATGCGGTCCAGATACTCTGGATCATCCTCCTCGGCCTGCAGCTCCTCCGCGGCCTTCTCCTCGTCCTCCTGCTCGTTAGGATCACGGGCGGCGGCGATTGCCTGTGCCTGATTCATCTTGGCCACCTTCTCCTCGTCGGGGAATATGCCCTCGTCAACGCGCTGTTGGTAGAACTCGTCCACAGTCATGATGGGCAAACTGGGATAGCCCAAGCCGAACACCGCCTTCTGCGTGGCGTTGCGAGTGATGATGAAGGGCTGCAGGGGCTTTGGCTTGGTGGCCTGCTGATGATGGTGGTGATGTCCGGGTCCGTGACTGTGACCATGACCCCGGGAGGTGGAAGATGCAGAGGGTTGATGCTGATTTGATTTGCGGAAAGAGTCCACTTCGTTGTCGACTTCGCCACCAGCCAATCGAGCCAAACGCATCTGGGCCAACTGTTTCATTACGATCAGCGATTCCAATTCCTGCTTGGAGTCTATGATGCTTTTGTCCAAGTACTTAAGGAAGAACGTCCGCCTGTCTTCATCGTCAGCCGTTTTGTTCTTGATTCCTTCTCGCATCTTGGCCATATATTCGTCAATTTCCTTCATTCTGCGATATTGGGCAATTTTGTCGTTTCTATTATAGGCTGCTTCCATAAGCTCCCGCTGCTCGCTCTTTCCAGTTTCGTTGTCCTGCGTAGCCACCTGTGATTTGGGCGCCGCACAGAGCTCGTACTCCTGGCAGCGCTGCAGGTGATCCTTGAAGTATATCTCACCCAGCTCAATGGACTGTATGCTATTGGGACTGTTGATCTTGGTGGTCAGCTTGGCCAGGAAGTACGGGAGCAGCATGAAAGGCAACGATTCTGTGGAGACTTCGTCGATCATCTCGTTGGCACTGAACATGCTCACCTGGTTCACAATGACGGTGGCCTGCTCGAAGAGGCCCATTGCCGTCTTAACTTTGTTCTAGAAGGTGCGTAGGGCTTAATAGGTTTTTAGTTTGGATGCTTCATGTCTCACCTGAAATTCGCTGCCATTAAAAGGAAGATCGGTAACTTCCAGCTCGTCGAAGATGTTCCAGCCGCTTAAAAAGATGTCGGTTAGCTTCTTGTCCTCGCCGCTAGCTGTATTACCCTCAGCCATTTAAAATACTGTTTTAGTTCCGGTGTTAAATTGTACTTCTAAAAAATAATAAAGTTGCGAAAATAATTTGCAAGCCGATGCGAGCCAGCTGTTCATATAAATGTTTAGTGTTGTAAAATACGGGAGAAACTAGTTCAGCATCTTACGCTATTAATGTTTAGCTATTTCCTAAGGATATTTTTGAAAACTACAAATTTGTATATACATATTTACAAAAGCCAGATATATGCAAAATTATTTTTTTAAAATTTTACCGTTTTAAAAAATCTTAGCCATTTTAAAATTGGTCACACAGTACGATACGCACACTAAATGAAAACAGATACGGCCGATTTGTCGAAAATCCTTTATTAAACTATACAAAGGTCTAAGGACTTAGCAAAAAGTTTGTTCATGGTTGTAGGTGTCTGATGAATAGGTCGCAGTCCGGTGGAATTAGCCCTTAAGCGTGGCCTCCAGCTCATTGTTGGCCAGAAGTTCCTTGATGATGTCCAGTCCGCCGATGAGTTCGCCCTTAACATACACCTGCGGATAGGTGGGCCAGTCCGAGAAGGTCTTCAGGCCCTGGCGCACCTCCTCATCGCTTAGGATGTCGAATGTTTCGTACGGCAAGCTGTTGAAGGAGACAGCTTGAGGTTAAAAAGGGGGAAAATATATGGGGTAAGAGAACATACTTTGTGTTGTTCACAATGCCGATAAGTTGCTTGGAGAACCCGCAACGAGGTCCATTTCGGTCGCCCTTCATGAAGATCATCAGCGGAGCCGTGTTGATGAGGGCCTTCAGGCGGTCCTCCAGCGTTTGTCCCGTCGCCGCCGCACTGCTGGCGCTTTCGGCCAACTTCTTGGTCTTGCTACTAATTGCGGCAACGTCCACTCCGTCGACGCGGTCCACAGCGGAGCCCTTGGCGAAGAAGATCACTGTTGGCACGGCTTCAATCTGAGTGGAGTCCGCAAAGCTAGTTATTACCCCTCATTAACCAAAAACTAGCGACTCACCTGGTGCTTCATGGAAATCTCTGGAAATTGTTCGGCATTTAAGCTGATGAACTGCAGTTTCTCGCCAGTAATCTTAGAGAGTTCCTCCAGAGCGTCCTTCACCTGTCCACACTGCTCCGCCCACTCGGCTGCGAAAAGCGCCACAGTCGTCTTTTCCCCATTTATGTACTTCTGGTACTCATCGGCAGCCGTCACGTTCACCACAGACATGTTTTCTTTGATTTTTTTTACTGAATATCAAAATTTATAAAAAGCAGACCGAATTATCAGCTGGGGAAGAGTGTTCCTAAGCGACCTTTTCTGAACAGTGTTGGAAAATGCAAGGAATAAATATTTTCTTACTTTTTAAATAATAAGAGTAACGCTCTTAAAAAGTTTCAAATCACCAAAAATATTTTGGAATTAGAAGAAAAACCTTTGTTCTTTTACTGCGTATTTAATTGTTTTATAATTTACATATTCAAAAAAATAGTAGGCCAAGTGAAAATAGTCGATGCCTGCTAGGAAAATATCGATGCTGTCAAATCTCTGGCAACATCGATAGCATCTAGTAAACGTAGATTTTTGTTCCAGCTCTAGTGGCAACACGTGCAGGCCGCATATTCAATATACACAGCTCACTTATTTTTCGCAAATAAAAGTTGAATTAGCCGGAGCATGGTGACGCGCAAGAAGCCAACCAAGCGCTGCGCCGAGGCGGCTGCCATCGAGGAGGAGGAGGCGACACAGGCGAAGGTGCCCAAGGAGGTGAGGGTGGTCGCCCAGGAGGTGAAAATCGTCCGTGCCCTTGCTGGCAACGATGTGGCCCAGCGGAATCGCCAGATCCGCAAGCTGCGCAAGTGGTTCAAGCTGCGGGCCAGTAGCTCCTTTCCCTTCACCGAGGATGACTTTATGCGCATCTGGAAGGGATTGTACTACAACATGTGGATGTCGGACAAGCCGCTGGTGCAGGAGGAGCTGGCCGAACAGCTGGCTAAGATGGTGGACAGCTTCGATGGAAACACGGCCTGCAGTCTGGCCTACTTCAGTGCGTTCATGCGCACCATGTGTCAGGAGTTCTTTGGCATCGACCAGTGGCGCATGGACAAGTTCCTGATGCTCACCCGCCGCATGGTGCGCTATGTCCTGCGTCTGCTGAAGCAGAGCAATTGGTCGCCGGAGCTGATCTCCGCCTTCAACAAAAGCATGCAGCTGTCCGTGCTGTCGGAGCAGCCCAAGAGCCGCGGCATGACCATGCACTATCTGGATGTCTTCTTTGAGGAGCTGGCTAAGGCGGCCGATGGCGAGATAAGCGCCGCACAGGTCAATCTGTTCTTGCGCCCGTTCGTCACCTACCTGGCCACGCAGCGCGACGCCAAGCTGGTGGCCCAGTGCCGCACAAGGGTGCTTTATCACCTGCTTTATCAGAGCGACTTGGGCCGCGAGTACAGCGAAAAGTACAATGCCTGGAAGCTGATGGGCTTCCCCACCGCCTCTATCGATGATATTGAGAAACTGGACTCGGGCTTTGACGAGGAGGACGACGAGGGCAACGCCGAGGAGGAGCCGCCGCGCCCCACATCCCTGGATCCCCGCGCGGGCGACGTGGATGTTCACATGCCAGAGCTGCCGTTCAACGCCGACTGTGTCCTGGACGAGCTGCAGACACTGCTCCGCACCAATGAATTCAACAGCAAACGCCGCAAGGGTCTGCGCAAGCTCATCCAGATCTTTGAGACCTACAAAGGCGGAGAATTTCCACTAGGCGTGCGCACCATGCCAAAGGTGGAGGGCCAGACACTGTCGGAGATGGTGGAACAAAAGGTGGCAGCCATTGAGGAGATGGAGGACGAGGTCTTCGGCACTGGCAGGAAACTCAAGAAGCTCAACAAGTCGAAGCGCAAGAGACTGTTGCAGTCCATCAACTTTGAGGAGGTGGACGAGCACAACTACGACGAGATCATTGGCAAAGCTCTGCCCCCGGAGCTGCAGAAAAAGGTCAAACACAATGCAAAAGTGCGTTCCAGCATAAACAATGCCTGGGTGGTGGAGGAGGTCACTGAGACTGATGCAACAGCGGAGGACAAGGACGAGAATCCAACCAAGCCTAAGGCAAAGAAAGCAAAAAAGGAAGAAACCCCCAAGCCGAAAAAAGAAGACCAGTTGAAGGTTAAAAAAGAAGGACCGGTTAAGCCCAAGAAAGAACAGTCCAAGGCACAGAAGGTGGAGCAGTCCAAGGCACAAAAGGATGAACAGTCCAAAGCCAAGAAAGAAGAGAAATTAAAGACCAAGGAGGAGCAGCCCAAGCCCAAAAAAGATGAGCAGCCCACGCCCAAGAAGGAGGAGCAGCCCAAGATAAAGTCTACCCCCAAAACCGAGCCTGTTGGTGATGATGAAGCCACCACCGCCACACCGCAGCCAGCCAACGGCTGGGATGCCCCTCTAGAGCCCGGTGAACAGGACATTTTCGTTCCCTCGCGCAAACAACAAACGAAGCAGGCTAACAACAAACTGCAGAAGTCCACGCCCAAGCAGGTGCCGCGTCTGCAGTTTGCCACCCCACAGACGGGCAGTGCCAAGCGTGTGCGGATCGTGACCAAGAGCAACTGTTTCTATCCCAAAAGCGACTACTACCGCCAGCTGAAGCTGTCTCCGCAGCTGCCCTACGACGCGGATCGCCTGCCCGGCAAGAGTGCTCTCAAGCCGCATGTATTACCGGGTCCGATTCATCCTAATTTCAAGGGGGCCAAGCGCCTCTTTAACGACACCCTGTGACGTTGCGTCCAGTGGCTGCGACTGGGACCGGGACAGGATCAGGAAGCTTAATGTGGATTTGATGCTCTAATGGTATAACCCAAAGGACTGCACTCCGGCTCTCCTTTCACATCAAAATACAACCCACTTCCTGACATTGCTTTGGAGATTAAGATAGCACATCCACCACAGACATGTCTTATGCCGGTTTTATACTACGTCTACATATAAATACACTACAGCTTCCAAGAGATATTTTGCTATTTTAAAATGTTAAAAACCTTTGTTTAGTTTCGAACTGATTGTTAGATAGACTGTGCTTTAAAAATTTCAATTTTCCGGAATAGTTGAAATTTTTACTGTATTGCAATTTGATTCGACTAATCAATTTATTAGGTTTATTAATTTCCACTCCAATAAGACCCCCATAAGACATGTACTAAATGTAACCCCTTAAACTTTTAGTAGTTACAATTACCACTTAATGTACTATTGCTTGTAGGCCATTTTATGTTCAAGCTATCCTTTGAGTTGATACTGAAATAAAAGCAAACGTAGTATATGTAATATGAAATATAAAACACAGACTATTTTTTTAATTTGATGAAATTGGGTAAAATCATTTTTATGGTCCTACTCGAGTTGAACAGTCAATCGATAAATCCGTCTTAGGGTCTTCACAATGAATTCAAAGGTTATCACTCATACGTACTGTTACCTTTGGTTACAATGGATTTACAGATTATCACTCATACGTACTGTTTTCTCTGACTAACAAATATATAGATTTATAAATATATTTCAATATATATGTATGCATGAGTTTTAGGTATTTGGGGCTACTTACCACTTCGGTGTAAACGACCTGCTTCACGGATCCGTCATCTGAGGTTCCCATCATGACTAGTGTGTGTCCCGGCGTCCCCACATCCGCCACCACCCTGGGACCCCATCAAAAAAGCGAAGGAAACGCTCAACTCATTCAATTTAACTCAATGTTCCATTTCGATTCACTCGGCACTGTTTCTGAGATTATTTTTACAGTTTGCAGTCTGTAAAGTTTCACTCAACCCACAGTTGAGCTGAATGAATTGCATTTAAGAGAGCAACATGAATGGAAGAGAACCAAATGAATGTGCTCGAATTGCATTGCTCCAGGACAAATACTCAAATGTTAAAACGAGTGGCAAAATGGTCCAAATTAAACTCACTTTATTCCTTCTAATAAAGGTAATAAAAATCTGATTACTCTTACTGCTTACAAAATCCAATAATTTACGTAGTTTTAAAAAACTTAAACTATTAAGCAACGATTATTTTTTGTCTTTCTATATATCAGACTTATCTGGGTCTTGGTATCATAATTTTAACTGAATTGCAAATTTAGTTGAATTTCAATTATAACTTTAAAAAAATGTTTGGTTGACCTTTTTCGATTATTACGTTTTGTGGTCGATGTGCATTAAATGATATTCTTACGGATGCACAACACAGTTTACAAACAGCTTTGTTCTCATCCATGCAAAATGAACTTCCGATCCACCCGAAACAATTGGTTGAACAATAAATTTTCATAATAATTGAATATTTGCCACCGCAGAATTGAGTCGATGGCGGATGGGGGGAGGGGGGTGTGACATGTTCATAAATCTGTTTAAAGTGGATGGCCAGCAACAATAACAGAATTCATTTCCTCAAGGATAACATCTGTTCAGAAGTGTTGCAACACGATTGAACAAATTAAGTTTCACACAGGACCAGCAGGCACTGGACACGTTAACTTTCTACACATTTGACGCATGTTTCATCCTACTGGTGTCCTCCAGCCGACTTCACCTCACCCGATTCCATCTCATCCCTCGCAATTCCTGTTGACAATCTGTTTAAGTTGCGTAAATCCCAGCCAAACAAGTCAGTGCAACAAATATGCCCAAGTACACACAGCACTTCCATTGAGTTGTGTGTCTATCGAACGGCAGGGAAACTATTTCCCCCCAGGAAAACCCCCACCTGTCTTGCCACCACCTCATTTTCCTCTCAGAGTGTTGTCTGAATGTCTTGTGCATTAAAACTTGTCGAAATTTTATTCAATTTACGTGCACTTAGGCGACGATTGTGCATTAAGATATGACGCAAATCTTGAAGCACAGCTGATCCGCATCCTCCCCCACTTTTCCCATTCGAATGCTCAGTAATAGATACGGATTCGTGTAGCTGTCGGCAGACTGGAGAAAGTGCCAGATATATCTCCGTAATTGGGCATACAATGGTTACCCTTTCCTCTGGACACGTGCACAGAAGTTATCCAACGTGTGCTTGCATTGAGGGCTTAAATGTTAAGTACCATGACAAATTTACTATCTTTAAATGTCTTTAAAAAATAACTATTCATAATTTATTTTCCGACTGACAATAACAAATTTATTTAATTATTGAAACAAATTAAACCTAACTATACATCAAAAATTGCTACAAAAACATTTTTCAAATAAAATTTTTACTAAAGTGTAGATAAGTTTTCTTAATCACAGAAATATTGGCAATACAAAAATAATAAATATTATTTGTTAAAAACAAATAATTCTTAATAAATAAGGACCATAAAAAAATTGTTTGAATAAAGTGGAGATTAAAAACGTTTATCTCATAAAAAACTATATATTTTTGCAGTCTGTATATATTTTTCCGGTTGTTATAGATTTAAGGATGCATTACTTAATTTTGATGATTAAAGAAATAAAGAAATTAAGAGATCAAATAAAAATGTTTTATGATTTTCCATTGTAATGGATAGCATTTCTCTAAGTGCATCGTCGTCTGAATCATTTATTTGATTGCTGCAGGTCCAGCCCCTTTTTCGCAGCCCATTGTCGACTATTTATAGCACTTTAATGGGTCGCAATCTATTTTTTACCCAATCAAATCGGGGTGTACGGCCTGAACTTTGGCGAGGCTATAAAAGCCAACGGTCGTCCAGTTGCGCAGCTCAAGTGCAAGGTAACCTGTTCAGGGACGGAATTCGCGGATATGTGGCTCCATCGGGTTGTGGTGCTTTTTGTCTTGGCCATCCTAACACCTTCGTTGACGGCATTCCAGAGTTGCGGACAGGACAAGCAATGTGTGCCGTACGAACAGTGCAACGAGGGCTTAATGGTCGACGGAAAATTCTATCCGGATCGCAGTAGGACGACGATGGACGAGCAATGCCACTATATGGAAAAGTGCTGCAATATCCAGGATACAGTGAGTACCAAAAAAAAACCTTACTAATTTCCCCTTCTTTAAAAAAAATGTTGATTAAAATTGACAATTTGGTTTTCGACATTCTTAGTTTTTTTTTTAATATCTATGGGATTAAGTGCAATTGGTTTACAATCTGAATGACAACCACCTTCGTGAGCCACATTTCAATTCATTTTAGTTTTGATTTAAGCCCGTTCAAAAAGTGTGGCTTTTTTATAGTAAAAAATTCCATTATCCTTTAGTTGGAGCGGAATAATCGATGTTAAGGTTTGTGGAAAATGTTATTCGATATAAAATATAATAGTTTTTTTCATAAACGCTTTTTACCTACCTTGCTTCAGTTCTTGTGGCTTCCTTTGTTCAATTTTTATATAACATAATAACGGGTGATATGTGAGTATAATTTAATTAATTAATAGATGGAAATAATTTTTTTTTCTTATTATATTATATTAAAAAGCTAGAGTGTTGAGTACCTACCTTTGGTAAATAAAGCCTTGTTTAAAAGTCAATTTAAACACTTTTTTAATAACTTTGTGTAGACTTAACATATAAAAGCTATAGTCTATACATTTCTCCTTTTAAGTACGGAATCAAAAGTATATTTCTAAGTAATGCATTTGTACCAACAGCTGTCGACACCGACTCTTCCGGCGGAGGCGACCAACTGGCCATGTGGAGGTCGTCATGATCTCTGGTACTATCTGCGACCATTGGGCTACAAGCAGCGAGAGGCCAAGTTCGGCGAGTTTCCTTGGCTAGTGGCGGTGTACGGAGCGGAAGGATACCTCTGCAGTGGAGCACTCATCACACCCCTGGCTGTGGTCACAACGGCTCACTGTGTCCAGAGTGTGGAGCCCGGGAAGCTGCGCCTGGTGGCCGGGGAATGGGATGCCGCCGTGGAGCTGGAACCGCAACCTCATCAGGAGCGATCGGTGACTGAGTCTGTGTTGCATCCCAACTACACGCAAATGCCGCTGGCCCACAACATGGCGATTATCCTGGTGGACAAGGACACACCCTTCCAGCTGACCCCCAATGTCCAGCCGATTTGCCTGCCGCCCCCGCAAATGTCCTACAATTACAGCCAGTGTTATGTGTCCGGCTGGCAGAGAGGCGATTTCGGGGGATCGGCGATCCTGCCCAAGCGGTGGACACTCTACGTCCTGCCACCTGATCAGTGTAGGGCCAAGTTGCGATTGTCCTTCCTGGGACGGCGCCACGCCCACAACGACACCCTATTGTGCGCGGGCGGGGACAAGGGCGACTTCGTCTGCGGGGATGTGGACATGGCCGCAGTGCCTCTGATGTGCCCGCTCTCTGGCCACGACGACCGCTTCCTCCTGGCCGGCCTCGTGACCAGGACAGCCCGATGTGATGGCCCACAACTGCTGGGCATTTACACGAACGTCAAGATCTATCGGCAGTGGATCGATCTGAAGCTGAGAGAACGCGATCTCGACATTCGGCAGTACATGGTGTAATCTGATCTGCAATAAACAAATAAAACCAGTCAAGGTTGTTTGGGTTTGATTTTTTGGTACAATTGTTACCGTACTGCTTTTACGCTAAAATTTCCGGGATTTTCTATGGGTTTTATTTTTGGCCAATCAATCCGACCTACCAAATTTCATATGTTTAGTAAATAAACTTTGTAAATATAGTGTAGATTATTTTTACTGATAATCAAAAGCATGAAGCGTAAATTAGTGTTCTAAAAATGTTTGAAACAATTGAACAATTTAGATTTAAACACATTTCTGATATTATTCGAGATCAATTTTAAGCGCGATGCGGGCTTTGCTGATCATTCCGGCTCTCTGCGGAGTATTATTAACTTATAACACAGGATTGAACGTAAGTCCTTCCGTTAAATTAACTCATATATGGAGTGAATACTAATACATATTGTCAGAACGCGGTCGTATTTAAGTTTACCAACGTTATTTGTGAGAGTTACAACACATCTTGGTTTGTGTTTCACAACTGTCGCTTAAAGGCTGTGAATAGAAGCAAAGTGCTTCTTAATATCAACGGAACGGTCTTACACCCAGCTTATGATATACACGTTCATGGACAAGTTTTAAAGAGGGCCAATGGCTACAAGCCGTGGCTAGTCGACCAAAAACTGGATGAGTGTCAATACATGCGACACCGATCCATTCCGGTTGTAACAATTGTCTACGGGCTTTTTAAGGAATTTTCAAATATGAACCACACATGCCCCTATATAATAAGAGTTTCAACACATTTGTTCTACATCTCACTAATTATTATTTTAGGGTTCATAGATCATAAAAGACTTTTATCTGAAGACCGAACTACTACGGCTTCCGCTTCCAACTGGCGATTACATGCTGACTTTGCGGTGGTTTTTTGATCGAAAATTGCAATTCGATTTTAATGTCAGTTTCACGTTTGTCGAAGATATTCTCAAAAAAAATTAAACAAAGGTATAAATTCTATAGATTTTTGTTATTTCCAAACATTATGTTTTTTAACAAAAAACGACAACCTGTTTTACTTTCAGGGACGAAGAATTTATCGTACAATATCTGTAGTTCTCGTTACCTACCTTTAACCAGCCCAATTCGTTTCATTTTTACTTTACTTAAAAACTACGTCTTTTAATTAAAAAAATACATTGTCAAAATTACAAAACCGATTGGTGTTTCATGAAAATAGTATCGCTATTATACTATTATATTTCATAAGCTCACCTTTGATCTTGACGGGTTTGACTTAAATGTAAAATGTGGTATTGTAAACTTTTTAAAAAAAGTGGAAAGAATATTTATTATCTTGTAGGATCTTAAAGTTTAAAAATCTTTAAAGATTACAAATTATTAGTGAGAAAGTCACAATCGGTCGAGGTTGGTGTTCCATAATCGTCGTCTTAAGGATATCAGTCTTGATAAGATGATCCTCCGCTCACGTTGAGGTTCAATACGTTTGGCGGCATGTGCGAAGCATTAAAAACTAAACATTATTTTTGTGCGCATTGCTGGTCATGCAACGCAGCCCAACGGATTTTCATTGTTTGGACCCATGATTTTCGCTTCCGAAACTACATGATACAAATTGACTTTGGGGTCTATTGCGCCTATTAATTGTTGCCAGCCATTCTAAAAACAAAAGTTTAGGTACCTATATTAGCATACAAATTGTTCGTTCGTTATGATTGGCTTTTATTTTTTTAATTAATGTGAATTAATTAATGTTTCGGCTTTTTCAATTTTTAAAGACAAATAATGCTTTGAACTAATTTGTCTGTGCAACAAGCCAGCACCGGACAATATTTATATACATTCTATCTGTATATAGTACCCAAATTAAAGCAATAATATTCAGATTTCTAAATAGTTTTTAGTCATCCAAATGTATATTCGATACTACCTATAATTATCCAAAATATATTATTATAATGCCATTATGTTCAGCAATTTTGAAACCAACATAATAAAAATAACTCAACAAATAAGAAACAGAAAGATTTTAATATTTAATTGGAACGACTATGAAATATCAACTAAATGCTGTATACTGGAATATAATATATTCTTCTAATCTAATAATAATGGTGATTACACCATTAAGCTCAATACTTATAACTTCATTTTGACCGGTAAAAAAAGCCGATATAATAGAGGTCTACTGTTGCTGAGTTAGTTTTATAAAAATAAGCATTTAATAATGGCACTTGACACCATGGGAACCGCATTTAGAATTATATGTTTAATTCTGGCCTTTCATATTGTTTTCGAACAAAGTACCATTGTAAGTAACTCTTTTCAATGTATTCCTATCAAATAAATATTTGTTTTGTTTAGAATGCTTCCAGATTCAAGTTTACCAACTTTGTTTGTGATTCAGTGGATGAATCTTGGATTTCGGTGCACAAATGTCGTTTAAAAGCCATTAGCAGGGACAAAACTACACTGAGTTTCAATGGAACTCTGCGGAAAACTGCCAAAAATATCCGAGTACACGGTCAAATTTTCAAGCGGGCCAGTGGTTTTAAGCCGTGGCTCTACAACATCACAATCGATGGCTGTCGATTTTTGCAGAGGCCCTATAATGCGCCGGCAATACTTGTTTATAATCTTTTTAAACAATTTTCCAATTTAAATTTCACATGTCCCTACGAGGTAAAGGCCCTATTATTCCAAATCCATTTAATATTCCCAAAATATTTTTTTACAGGGACAAGTTTACGTAATGGGTTTCCATCTCTCAGCAGAGGGAGTTCCGGTCCCGCTTCCCTCTGGGGAATACCTAATTTTAATAAAGTGGTACATCGATAAGGTACTTATACTTTCTACGGGCATATATTTTTCGTTCGAAGAAAATTTATCATGAAGCTGATGTTTAATCGATTAATAAAAGCAAATTTAAACTGATTTGAAGAAACCTCATGGACAGACCGACCTACACCCGGGATCGGCAGACTATATCCTATAGCCGCCATATAACTGATTGATCGGAAATGCCATAACTTTGGTGTTTTTAAAGTTAGGAAGTTGGGATTTTTTATGAGTATTAAGAATGCATCATATGAATAATTTTGGAGACCATAATTTACAGAATATTCTGCAAGGGTATATCAACTTCGGATCCGCCCGAAGTTAGCTTTCCTTTCTTGTTGTAAATATTTTTAAAGCAATTACAAAGCCCTTTAAAATATGTTTTAATTACTTGCTTAAGAAACTAGTATAATAACGATATTGGTTATAATGTGTTTGCAGTGTTTAGCGGCATAAGAGTTTTTGAAACTGAACTAAACATCTTAATATACAATATAATATTTAGTCTGTCTTGACGTTGTTGCCTGCTAATGGGTCTAAAAGAATTTTTAGTGTTCTTTCGGTTGTTTATTTATGAATCGTCTTAAAAATTTGCAGTGGAAATCCGGGAATTGCTTTTATTAAAGGAATTTCTTTGTCAGGAAAATCTTGGCGGAAGCGTAAAATAAAACACGTCGTGCTGCTTTGACTCTTTATTCGCGATAGACAGTATTAAATGTTAGTTTACATAATTGCAGTGCAGATGTTAATGTTAACGCACTGCTAATATCAGTTATCGATAACAGTGGTTATATTCATAAGCGTACATTGATATTTTTAACACTCTTCCTCAATGTAAGCATATGTATAAATATTACTTCAATTTTAACAAATTCATGAAATGCGTATGTTTCTGCTTCGGCAAATTCTTCGTTAATATGTCTGCGATCATATCATTAGTTGAAACATACTTCAAAACTATTTGTCCCTCATTTACTACTTCCCGTGCAAAATGATATCTTATATCAATATGTTTTGCCCTTGAGTGATGCACAGGATTCTTAGCCAGTTGTTGCGCACTTAAATTGTCAGTGTGGACTATTGTTGGGGTGTCCTCTACGCCGCAACCAATTTCGACTATAAGTCTGCGCATAACAATCGCCTCTTTGCATGCTGTTGATAACGCCATGTACTCAGCTTCTGTGCTGCTAAGCGCTACGCTCCGTTGCTTCTCCGATTTCCAGGATATCGGACCTCCTGCCAGAAAATATACAAAGCCCGTATATGACTTCCGGTCACTCTGGTCGCCGCCCCAATCCGAGTCGACATAGCCTTCAAACGCCTTTCCACACTTGCTGTAGTGTAGCTTAAGCTCCGACGTTGAAGCTAAATATCGCAACACATGCTTCACTCCTGCTAGATGCTCCACATGCGGATCCTTATTCCGCTGAGCCAATTTTGCAACTGAATGCAAAATATCAGGTCTGGTCGTAAGAGCTAACCACATTAACTCTCCAATTGTTGATTGATATAACCTCATATCAACTTCCTGACATTGGTCATTACTGCATGCCACTTGGTGTCCTGCTTCTAACGGCGTCGCAGCCGCTCTGCAGTTCTCCATATCATGTCTTCGTAGTAGATCCTTAATGTACTGTGAGTGACCCAAAGTGATCTCGCCGAGTTCGCCATCACGTTTGATTTCCATACCTAGGAAGAGCTCCAATGGACCCTTATCAACACATTCAAATGCGTTAGATATGGCTGCCTTAATGTTGTTCAAATCCTCCTTTGACTTGCAGGCTATAAGAATATCATCGACATAGACTAGTATTAGTGACAAATTACCTCCAGTCTCTTGTTTGTACAAGCAGGGCTCATTGTCGCATGGAACGAAATTAAGTTTACGCAAAACTCCATCCAGCATCGAATTCCATTCTCTTCCTGATTGCTTCAATCCATATAGCGCCTTTTTGAGCAATAAAACCTTTCCTTTCTGGTTGTCTTCTTCAAACCCTTGTGGTTGCTTCATATAAACCGTGTCTTTCAGATCGCTGTTCAAATATGCCGTGCATACATCCATTTGATGCAAATACAATTGTAACTCCGCTGCCAACGCTAAGACTAAACGCATACTCTCTAGTCTGCATACCGGTGAAAACGTTTCGCTGTAGTTGACACCATATTGCTGCGAACATCCTTTCGCTACCAATCTTGCCTTAAAGCGCTGAATCTGGCCGCACGCATCTCGCTTTAGACTAAATACCCATTTGCAGCCAATTGCGCGCTGGTTCTTTGGCAATTCTGCAAGCTGCCATGTTTCATTTGTCATCAAAGCCTTGTGCTCCTTCTCCATTGCTTCGTGCCAATGCGCTGCGTGTTTACTGTTGATCGCCTCGTCGTACGATGACGGGATAGTTACCTCGTCTGTAACCATCGCTCCCAGTATATTGTAGATCTTTTTTGGGCGTCCAGGCTTGCCCGTTCTCAGGATCTTTGGTCTGCCAGGACCAATTCGTAGTGTCGGATTAGCTTGCACTATCTCAATATCTTTTGCACTTTCAAAAGATTCATTGCTGCTACTGTCGTCTGTAGTTCCAAGTTCTGGCTCGCTTTCGTCATGGTCATCATCCGATCTCAGCTGGATATCACCTTCATCGTCTGAATTTGAAGATTGCCCTTGATTTGGTGGTTGCATGTCAAGTACTACGACGCTGTCACTTCTCTGCTCTAAGCCACTAAGCTCGTCGAATATGACATCACGTTTCTCGATCACCAGGTTTGACTCCGCATTATATAGCCTATAGCCCTTCGCCTGCATAGAATATCCGACCATGCGATACTCTTTGCCCTTCGCTGTGAACTTGCTCTTATGATGCCCCTTGTCAAGTGCAACTGCAACGGAACCAAAAATTTTTAAATGACTTATACTTGGCTTCTTACCAGTCCACGCTTCCATAGGCGTCATATTGGGCAACGCTCGGGTAGCCGCACGATTTCGCAAATACACAGCCGTATTTACTGCCTCTGCCCATAATGTCTGACTGAGTCCTGACTGCACCAATAAGCATCTTGCCATTTCCACCAACGTGCGATTTGCCCTTTCAGCAACTCCATTCTGTTGTGGGGTATAAGGCACTGTCAGCTGCCGATCAATACCATTG